ACACGTGGGATGGGGCGCAGAAACGCTTCTTCTTTGAACCTCGGTGGTTTCATCGCTCAGTTCCACGGTTTAGCACTGGCTGTACTCAACACCTGTGATGCTGACGCTGCCGCCTTGGCTTACGAACAATGTATGCCGTCATCAGTCATATCGCTCATGGCTGCGGATGGCTTCGTCATGCAAGGAGGCCCTGCGCAAGTTAGTCTTTGGACGTCATGCGGTGGGCAGGCTTGCAAATCGGGATAGTAGATGATGTCAGTGACAATTATACTTTCCTGTGCCATGGCAATCCGAAATGCGCGGCCAAGAATAGTACAATATTGGCAAGCTGGCCTGCGAGAATCGAATGCCGATAGCATCCCGGCCCTCGACCCAAGACCCGAAATAGCCCCAAGCATCCCTAAACCCTAGAATTTTTAAATTCCCAAGAAGCCCTATAACTTTTAACCCAGATCCCTTCATACTCATCAGCAAGTTGTGCGTGAGTACTGTAGCGTCTTGAATCCACGCACTTGCTGGACATGCGCGCAGGGGCAGGAGCTGCAGGCTGTGGACGGCCCAGGCGCGCACTTCGGAGGGTTTAGGGTTTAGGGTTTGGGGTTTGGGGTTTGGGGTTTAGGGTTTAGGTACCTCTGCCCCCCCCCCTCCCCACCCCCTTCCCTCCAAAAGACATTGGAACGGTAGTAGACGGGACTTGCGAACTCGCCTCCCCCCGCCCAACCCCCCCCCCAAACAAAAGAAGCAAAAAGGAAAGAAGAAAGTAGAAGGGGAACTCTTACTGCCGGAGACGTTCTGATTCCCTCACTTTTGCGGTTGGGGAGGCGCTCAACATATGCATGTATGTATGTATGTATGTCCGTACTTGTTGTCATAACACAGTGCTTCGCCTCACCATTGATTCCGGCCTGCTGGTCGCCCATTGGCCGGAGAAGGTGAGCTACAGGAAATCAAGGTCAGACAGATACCTAGGGTTGCTGGAGCATTTTTGAGTGGCACAGGTTCTTGGAAAAAATGATCTAGGATGGCGAAGCACGGCAGCATCTGCGCCTGAAGGTCAGGCCGCTCGTTCGCCCCAAATGGGCGCAACAGGGCACGAGTCCTCGTTTTGGCTCCGCCGAGCCTCGCTGACGACAGCCGGGGGCCGGGACGACACCAGCTAGAAGCAGCTAGAGAGATTCTGGAGTCCGTTTTTGGCGCTTGTGGCCGCCAGTCGTCGCCCATGCTATCGCCATGCTTTGCTCTAGTATCCGGTAGGCAGAAGGGCAAGCAAGTTGCAGCTGCTCGCCGATGACGTGAAGAACTGTCTTGTGACAGCACAACCTGCGTTGCCTGCATAGGGCTGCTGTGTTCCCAGTGATCGCTTTGGCTGTCCTCACCGAGGTGGTCTTTCAGAATACCGCCACACACCCAGAGTCACGGGTTGCACAATCAACCGACAGTGGGTGCTCATCAAACAGATCGAGCGCTCGTAACTCTACGACGAATGTACATGCCAAAAGGCGACAACAACTCGTCTTGGCTTAAGTGTGCTTTTTTTCCGGCAGTGTCAAGCCCCTGAATTGTTTATCCTTGTCGTCGCCTGCTACCGGGCTCTCTTCTCTGAGTAGACACTGCACCTCACTTCATTACCGGTCGCCAGCCGTTAACCGCGCTGTACTAGGGGACAGGTTGAGAGTAGCTGAAGGAACGTAGATCCCCCTCCATTTCCTGGACTGTTTCTTGAAATGTTCTACCAAATTTGCTACTTGTAGTAACTTAGTATATGCGTGACAACGGGACCATGGCATGAAATTGTCATCTGAAATTATCTGAAATTCAAAAGTAAGTCCCATGAACGGATGAGTGGGGATTGACCAGCACTGTAGGCCTTGGCTCTTTGCATGCGGTACTCCAGACTTCCCAAAGCGCACGGCGAGGCCGCTGTGGATTGGGCGCTGATTGTAATCAGGGGAGGGTTGTGCGACACCTGGCGCATTCTAGCGCCCCAGCGGGAGTTGAAGGACGTTGCGAGTAGCGCATGCGCATCGATTCGCGATTGCCACTGCCTGTTGGCAGGCTGCAGAACTATACCTGGTCACAACGGCTGTGTGCGTGCCTCGTTTCTTGCTGTTGCCCTTCGTGTTTTTTTTGTATAATTTTGTTTTCCTTGAACTTTAGTGGGTATGGTAACTCTTGTAGTTGTTGGTGTTGTTGCTGTTGCTGCGATGGTGCTCATTTGGTTTCTGTAGTGAGTAGAGGTTGGTTGCTCAGCTTTGCATCACACCCCGGGCAGTGGCAGGTGCAGTAAAATTTCAGCAGCATCCACAGAAGGAAATCTGACGATTGCACTGGGAAGCGTTGCTGCCTGTTGCAACATGCTGGAGAAGCAAATCGTCTCCACAGAAATTGTCCCATTGCTTGAATGGGCTGCAGTCCAAGGTTTGGCGGTGAGTTTCTGAAACTTCTCGTTTCGATCGTGCTCGCCTTGTGCTCAGTACCTGCACAGCTGCATTGCTTGTGCCAGTCGCGGGAGAGGGCGCGGTTGTAAGCAAGCGGGTGCCACCTGCCCTGGCATTCTCCTCCTCCCCTCCTCCTCCTCCTGTTGTAACGTCATCTAATGTTAAATCAAGTCGAAGGCCAGCTGGCACTACTCCATGAGAGAAGCCTTAGCCTCGGCAGAGACCACCTGTGCGTGTCATGGTCAGCGGGTGACTCGATGACAGCAAACTGGACGGTGAGTGAAGACTTTGAATTTTTCGTGCCGCGCTTGACCCACTTGTGTTTCAGATACGTTGGGCTGCTGCGGAAGCCCCTCTCGTTTCCAAATGCTCGTTCAAGTATTCGCCGCCCCTCCAAACCTTGAAGCATCATGGCTCTTCAATCCCCACGTAATATCAACATCTGTGCCGTGCAAACAGAGCCAACAACCCTGGTGTGTTGCCCTGGACTGCTTATTATCCTAATGTCACGCCGCGCCGCCATGTGCGTTTGTCGTCTCCATACATAGAGACCTTCGGAGGATCCCTGGCTGGAGAGGATCGGAAGCGGTTGCAGAGACTTCCCTGCACACCACGTTCTGAAGCAGAGGCGACCGTAGGCTCCAACCTGAGAAGCCTCAGGAAGATGGGCATTGCGAAACCCCTCTGAACATGAAGCCCTGCGGGCAAAAAGCAGAAACACGAGCCTGTGGCCCTAAAACCCCGCCTGCCATGTGCTAGTGCAGGAGTCGAAACTCCTCGCCTCAGAGTGGGCCCCTAAACCCTAAACCCCTTAAAAGTCATTGCGGCACCTGCGTGTGAGGACGAAGCGGCAAGAAAACCACCTTGGGCCAGAGATGGTGTCTGCCCTTCGACTCGAAGTCTTCGGGGTGCCTTTTTGTTTGGGGTTTAGGAAATTTTGTGCCGGGGTACCTCAAAAGGGTCACAAATGCAAGAAGTGCTTCAGAACTTTCAGAAAGGCTGTCCTTCCAAAGTGTTCAAGATTTGCAGGGTCAGGAATCGCATGGCGGCGTAGATTGACAACCGGAGGGCAACTGCACCGCTCCGCCACGCAGGCTACATCATCCACCGATGGCACGAACTGCTTCTCACTCACGTTTGAGCAGGTTGCCATGGAGGAGCTGGCTTCTCAGATGACGACCATGAACTAGAGCTGCTATAGCTGCTCTCTAGCTATAGAAATTGGCACCTGGTCTCAAGGGGTCTGATTTCTGCCAGGAATCGTCCCCCATGGCTAAGGTCGTTCCTGGAGTCTCGAAGAGAAGGCCTGGTAAGAGCGATGACTCGATCAAGTTTGGTGTGCCTCGGCCGTCCAAACGGGTGGTGGAGTTAACATGCTCAGCCCTGGCTTGCAATTCCGAAGACTATATATATATATATATATAATGACTACAATCCCGCACCTGCCTTATGTCAGGTTCGGTACACCGACACGCGCAGGGAACGATGGTGATAGCTGTCGTGTGAATGGCAGTAGCAAATTCAACTCGGGACGAAGGCAAGTCAATGAACATACAGGGCTGGAGCCTGCAGCTACTTGTAGCAAATACACGTCTCGCATAACATCGAATCCCGTCCTCAGCGTGAGAGCATCCATTGCTTCAAGGCAGCATGTGCTTGCCACAGTCTAAGGCTTTCAGTGCTCTTGGTCTTCCAGAGTGCCTATTTGGCTCAGTCTTTCTTGGCCGGAGACCTGACAATCCCTGGCCACGGAGCTGCAATGGACTATGTTGCCCCTCATGTACAACGAGTCTAGGACATTACCGGACTTGATGGACCGCTGCTTACATCTGAGGCTGAGGTCGATCCAAACAGTAGGGGCGGTGACCGTTTCGGGCTGCAAATGATCTACTAATGGATTCGGTTGCCTTCCGCACAATCTACCGTGAGCTACTCGCCCAATCGGGACCTGTTGCCCGCTAGCTAGTCCATCACGACAACTCAGTCAGTGCTCGAAAGACTGATCGCAAACCTGAGCCCATGCTGAGGAGACATTTGCGATTTCTACTGCACATTCGTGGTACCATGTTTCAACCTGGACCTGGGGCACCCATTCTACCGCTACCATATCCGCGAGCCCGAAGTCGTCAAGTTGTAAAGCAGCCCGACCCCGAAGGTCTCCGGGAAGTACTCATCCACCGCGCCACAATCAGCGGTGCTTTGATCCTGTGCCTAGTTGTGACAGCCACTTGGCTAGACCTTAAGACAAGCGGCTTCGTCATGCTTGGCAGTTCGTGCTGCATCTGACACCCTCAGATCATTTTCCAATCCTATGTGGCATGGACATGAGAAGTATCAGCATGAATTCAGTCTAAGAATGTTTGTGACATTGGGGTTCGGCCACGCAGGTGGCAAGCCATGATGTAGTGAAGCAAATGCCCCTTTTGCTTTCACCCACCTGCAGAAGCCTTCCGAAGCCAGTTTGGGGTTTAGGGCTTAGGTACTGGAGGGTTTAGGGTTCAGGGTTCAGGGTTTAGGGTAATCCCCTTCAACAGCTCCCTACTTCAGGCAACTGTGGGCCTGATGCAGTGTGTCCGCGCATCCACGAGATTCATCGAGCGGAGCATCGCGTTCACAGTTCCACTCATCATCTTTGCCACTCGTCTCGACAGGGTTCCGCTTCAAGATGGCTCAAGGGTTCAAGTTCTGCCAGGTGCAAGATTAGCAACACCGCAGGCTTCTTGAGGATCCGGGATCTGTGGCCTCTCTCTCGTCCAGTGCAGGCCATACCACACATGGACCACCACTATGTGTCCAAGATGTTTGCCATAGACGACGTGCACTTCATGGACAGCAACAATCCTGAGTGCTACAATTATTCATCGGATTCCAGGCGGGTCCCGCTTTGTTACATCCTTCATTCTTGGCATTCGGAAACTTGCTGCGCCAGAGCTCGTAGCCGGAGAGCCCATCTCGAGTACCTGTTTGTGCTACTGCTACCAAGTCTCTCTTCTGCCAAAGCAACTGCAATGTGCGCGAGTGGTAGTGAGCTCCATCGCACTCTGGTCGTTCAGGCTTATGCTCTCCTGGATTTCGCTGCTCACAGCTGCGCATTTCTTCTTGAATGTGCGGTGGTTCATGCTCATCCCCTCGCAGCTGGCAGGCTCTGGCAGTCCTTGACATTATCAGTGTTTGTGCATGTTTGTGCTGTGTTAAGCCCAGTGCCTAGATTTTTCTAATCTACATCCTGGGGCTTGCGGGCAGCTTTTGAAGTTGTTGGTGGTAACGCACCCACACCCCCCACCCCCCACCCACCCCCCACCCAGCCTCCCCCCCACCCAAACACAGCAAAAACACAGGTGTGCTTGCTTACGGCGTGTGTGCGATCCTCGGGAGTCCTGAAGGCACGTGGGGACCAGTCAGGGCCTTTGGGGCTTTGGCTTGGGGGAGACATGAGGGTCGGTGGGTCAAGGTTTGCCAGAAGAGGTAGCTTGCTTTTGCCGCTTGACAACCAGCACATCTGGGACATGACGCCAGGTGCCTTCAACGTCCCGATGAACCTGGCGCTGTTTTGTGGCGCCACTTGATAGCTATCAGTGGCTATAAGTTATAAGTCATGCCAAGTTGGCACCAGACACTCCTGAGAAAGAAACTCCCTCGGTTCTTGCGTACCACTTGCATGGCGAGGGCTGGATCGGTCTCGGAAGCGGCAATCTCACAGAAGCGAGCCTCCATATTTCATCGCAGTTTAGCCAAGAAGAGCAACAGGTCTACCTGCCGGCAACCCTGCTGTAACTCGGCGTTTTCGGCTGATGCCGCCAAAAACCCTTGGGCAAGGTCACCGCCCTGGCATCCATGGCCAAACGACAGCTGGAGAATAATGAACGCCTACTGCGCGTGCAGCTGATATCCGAAAGGCGAACGGAGTGGTGCCCATGTGTCTTAATTAAATTGAATGGCTTGTAACATTGCTGGCCGTTTTGTGGACCTCTTCGTTGGTGTTTCAGTTTCCTGAAGCATTCTGTGGCACAGGTTTCGGGCATCACGGGAACGACAGAGGTCTCTATTACTCTAGTGGTTCCTGCCCGTGGGCTGCGACAGACGGTTTTTTCTTGCCTACACCCATAAAAAAAGGATAGTTGGTGCTGGTGTCGTCATGGCTGTGCTGGCATCGACTCGTCACATCAACACAGTTTTAGTCATAGAGACGGTTCACTTCACGGGCTCCATCATCGAAGCATCATTTTGGAGGGCTTCTCAGGGTCGTGGCATGTCTTCGCTGAGTTTCGCGACAAGGGCTCAGAATTCTCGAGCCAGTCCGAGCAGGAGCTGGTTTCTCAGGGCCTCACGATGTTCTAATGTTTATACTTTTATACTTTATAACCCTCTACTTCCCTAAGCCCTAAACCCTAAACCGCTTTGCGCAGGGTGGCGCGCTTCGAGAGCGACTTCAAGCTCGAGCAGGCTTGCCGGGGATCTTGAGTTGCCAAGATGTTCCAGGTCGTGTCGGCAGCAAGTCGGCAGAAGGTGGCAAGCATCACCTCATAGGGGCTACGGCCTGCGCGCTTTTTAATAGCACCGCAAAATGTTGCTAACAGCTTTCTTGTTTATACAGATACAAAAAAGCCTGTGCTTACATTTCCTGGAAGCACTCCAGCGGACTTTTGCGCCACGAGAGTATCGATTGGTCCGGACCATTCCAAAGTGTGGCTGCGTTGCTTCAGGTCCTTTTGCCACACAGGCCTTTGCAGTGCCTGATTCTTACCGTGTGTCGGCGCAGGCCCAAAGCTCGATATCATCTGGGAGGTCGAGTCCCAATCGTCGGTCGTCTGACCTCCAGTCCGTAGTCGCTTGGCGGAATGGATTCAGTCCTCACCCCCACTCTTGTCCCGTCCTCCCCTCCGTCCTATTCCTCACCTCCCTCCTCTCCCTCCATCTCCCGGCCCTCCTGCTCTCTCCTGCTCTCTGTCCTGCTCTTTCCTGCTCTCTCCTTCTCTCTCTCTCTCTCTCCTTCTCTCTCTCTCCTTCTCTCTCGCTCTCTTTCTCCCTCTTCCTCTCCCTCTCCCTCTCCCTCTCCCTCTCCCTCTCCCTCCGCCCCACGAGCCCAACTGCAGTCACTGCCCCTACAGGCTTCCAACATCCCCTGCAAAATAAAAGCAAGAGGTGAAAGGCGTACAGGCGCAAAGCACGGGCCTGGGCTGTAGGGATTCCACAGTTTGACCCGTCCTGAGGTAACTGCCGCCTGGCCGCACTCTCGTCGAATCTTTCAGGGAGCAGGTCCCGCATGGACCCTGCAACAAACTGAGACTGCTTGTTGACGGGAGCTGTAGACGAATGCGACGAGGGATCCAGAATCCAGCACCGGCAGGGACATGTGAATGGCACATGTCTCGAGCTGCCCCCATGTGATCCAAGGACCAAACAGGCTGCTCGGACCCGCACTTGAGAAGCAATGCTGATGCACCAATAATAAGAGTGACAATGAGGGCCTTTTGAGAAACTGCGTCGTGAGCAAGGACTGGGACCTAAGAGCACCTTGGCATGTAGAGCATGCCACACTGTCTTTCGGGCTCGCAGGTCAGACTGGTTTCACCCAGTTTATCTTCGATATGAAGACCGACTGCAAAGAACAACTTGAGCACATGGTCACCTTGGGCCACCAGGACTGAGTTTGTTCCATCTCTAGCTCTGGCCCTGCGCCCTGATCTCCCGGGTGGAGGACTTCGTACGTACCGTCCCTACGTAGGCCTAGAAGTTCGGCATGTTCTGTCAGGAGCACTGGCTCATCGAGGCTGGGGCGCAGCTATATGTGCTTGTTACCTCTATTAGGGGTGCAAAACAAGGTCTGTTTGTGGGAGTTAGCCGGAGGCCCCCGCACTTCTACTCGATTGGCCCTGATACGGACCTCCCCGTGGCCACACCCAAACCCCTCTGAGGCCAGCCAACTCAGCTTCAATCCGAAGAACCTGATCGGACGTGGCAACTATGGAGCCACTGGGCGGCGGACGAACAAAGCTCTCATCGTGCAATGCAAGTTGTCCCCCAAACGATCTGAACTCGGGCTTGCGTAGATGATGGGCTGAGGGTGGCTGGTCTAGTAGAACACACCAGTGTTGCAACCTTGGCCCTTGGCCCAAGGGCGGTTGCAGAACACTCTAGGCATAGCTCTCGTGAATCATCCCGGCTCCTTCTTAGGTGATCCTCGCAGGGGATCTACTCGGAATGCCGGTAGCGGTGAAGCTGCCACTGGCCAATGCATCCCTGTCACTGCCGGACTTGGCAAACGAGCCGCTGGGTTTAAACTTGCCGCTACCAGGTCGCCAAGGTCTTTCGATCACACACGTGGTCTCTCAGAGGCCTATTCTTCCAGGTGGTTCGCTCTAAGAGGGCAGATGTCGTGTGCGCCCCTAACCCAGGAAGCTACAGCACGCTAGACTAAGAGACTCGGGGCAGTGGTTCCAGCCTAGCCTGTGTGCTAGGAAATCACGCAATTGGAGCTCGTGGACCCTGTCTCGGCTGACCCCTTCAATCCTAAACACCCTAAGCCTTGAGAACCCTGATTGCCGCCGCAAGCCCTCAAAGACTCAAAGCCCGTTCTCACGATGGACCGCCGTCCCCACACCCCCCGCCTGCTTGTGGCCAGTGAGCCGAAACCAAACCTGAACACCAAGTCCCGGTTTTTTTTAGGCTCCGATTTCTTCGGCGAGCACGTCATCCTCACATTGTCGCTTTTCAAGGCCACGTGCAGTGCAAGAACAGAGGGCTTTCAAATTCTTCCGTGTTCCGCACCTCCTACCCCTTCCCGAATTGCATCGTATCCAGAAAAGCTGTGTACGTCGGGTCTTGTGCCAGGTGCCTGTATATTGCCTCAAGCCGCCACTCGGCAATGCGAAAGGTTGGGTCGGCACAGCTCCCAGGACCGTAACCCAGCCTCTCTCTGGCAGCGAAAGGCTCCAAAGCCAGATTTTGAGGGACTCGCTGCCACATGACTATGCAGCTAGATTTGCGAATGTGCTGGAAAGTATGTTGCGAGATGCTGAGGCTGTTAGGGTTGGGTTCCTTGGACTAAGGAGATTCTGTTCTTGGTGGAGGAGCTGGTGAATGGAACCAGCTTGCAGGCAGGATGTGTGTTCGGGTTCAAGGGCTGGAAAGTGGGCCCCCTGGGATGAGCCGGCTTAGGGAGCAAGGTCTCAGACATGGACCGAACCCGCAGCTTCGTCAGCAGTATGACAGTCGCCGAACTTCGCATCATTATATCTATAGATATGTGTCCGGAGCTTTGGAGGTTGCGCGTGAAACCCAAGAATTGCAAAACGAGCATTATGCGATTTAAAAACTGTTTTGGGGGGTTTTTGCATTGAGAATTAAACTTCGAACGCGCCCAGCTTTGCTCAACTCCGACTTCGTGAGGATGTATTGCTTAAGCTCCTCTTCCCGGTGTACCTTTGCGGCGCACATTGATATCATATTCTATTCATATCTGTGTGCATGTGCTGTTGCTGTATGGCTCGTACTGCTGTGTGCATTATCACGACGTTTTTGATGCTCGTTTGTCTTCTCAATGCGTGTTTAATATCGTTTCCTGTTGGATTTCCTGGCAGAGTTTGTTTTTAGTTTCGAAGCCTCTTGAGAATATACGTATATACATATATATGTGTACAAGTACACAAATGTATGTTGCAACATTGTATTACATTGTGTTATGTTAAATAAGTAAGTACACGTCTATATGAACCTGAACTTTATTCTTACACTATATTGCACGTACATATTGTTGTCAGGGTAGCCATACCTCCACATGTCTGCCCTTGTCGTCCAAGCCAGGCGCTCCTGTCGGGGTCACTGCAGCTGAACACCATGGAGAAACATGGGGTGCTGCTAGGAATTCTCCGTGCCTGAGCATGCAATCGATGGAAATTCGGATGGGGACTAGAGGCAATGCATACGAGATGGCCCTGTAAACGCCACCCCCCTCCAGGCCGGCACAACACGAAACTGCAGTCTCCCAACCCAAGCCCGCGCCCAGAACCCCGTCCCCTGGCCCTAGCCCAGACGGCCAGCGTGTTTAGACAGAGATCGACAAATCTGGGGCGCACACACACTGTCGTGGGCGATTAGAAATAAGGAAGAGAGATGAAGTAGCATGCCGCTCCAGTAATGCTGTAGGTGATTGCTTTTTTGCGTACATAAACCGTCTAGCCACACACAACTGGCTCTGAGGTGCCCTGCGATATCTGCACGGCTTGGTGCCTTCCGTCGCACATGGCGACCTGAAGCCCAGCAACGTGTTGGTCTTGGACCGCCGCTCTGCGCCAAAAATTCCAGCTTCAGGGTTCAGACCTCAACAAAGCTTCCTGTTCCAGGTGATGGCGGTTGATGGAGTTTTTGTGGTTTTGGGGGCTTGTGACGATAGGTCGGAGAGGTGTGGCAGTGTGACACCTCGGGCATGTTTCAGCTGGTGCTGTTGATGGATGTGGGGGTTTCCGAATTTTTTTTGGGGTACCTTATTGGGCTCCTTACAAACGGGAACCCTACTGTTCGGGGGTCTCCCATGTTGATGGTGGGATGCAAAGTTTCCCAACTCAAAAAACCGCAAGCCACCACTGATTGGAACGTCATGGCATATTCGGGTGGTGCGGAAAATTGCCCACTACATTGTGCTTAACCCTAAACCCCAAACCCTAAACCCTAAACCCTTCTGCACACCAGAGTCCTTTGGACCGTTGTAGCACAGGTGACAAGTCGCCGAAGCTCATCGACTTTGGGCTTGCGCGGATTCGCCACAGCCACTCGCGCCAGCTGGGAGGCCATGCCGGGGACTCTTAATTCTAGGGTTTAGGGTTTAGGGTTCAGGGTAGATGCTACAGCCCATCTGCGGTCTACCAATTGTGAAGTCAAGTTCCTCAGCTCCTCAGCTGTGCTGAGATGCTGAGTCACAGTGCCCTTCCCAGGAACTCCCCGGTACATGGCGCCAGAGGCAGCTGTGGTGTCGGTTTGAATGTGAAGTGACTTGCGAGAGACCCATATGCTGTTCTTTCACATGAAGGAGGTGAGCTACTGTAGAAACTCTAGGCCCGGTTTGATGTCGCAGCACATGTCCTTCGGACTTCAAGCCAGGCTCTAGGGCTGCGGTTCTTCTGCGTCCGGAGGTTCTCACCAAGACCATCCAGATGGCAAAAGCAGATAAGGCTGACATGTTCTCCTTTGGAAGGGTGCCTCGGTGGTGAGTAGCAGCTGAGTCATGTGCCGGGCACAGTTCAGTCTCCGCAGCATAGGGGTGGTGCATCTTTGCAGCTTTGAAGCTCATGAGCTCATGCGGCCGAGGTGATTTTCTTCGTACTGACAGCAGCAAACCCCCTGCAGGGGCTCAGCGTGCAGGACGGGGCCTGATCAGAAGCAAACTGTAGCATGTCGGCACGTGCATTTTCAGAACGTGAACATCATTGAGTATCCGCCGAACATGAAATACAAGGTCAAGAAAAAGATCACCCCCCCCGAATGTCGCCGTGAGGACGTTGTCTCCCAAGCGGAGAGAAACCAGGCCCGGGGACTGCCAGGTTAAACCCTAAACCCTACACCCTAAACCCGAAACCCTCTTAGCCTAGGTCTTCCCCTGGGGGTTCTTCTTCCTGCTTTTTCCGAGACGCACTTAGCAACCCCGCTGTGCTGTGGCTAGTCGGGTGCCAAAAAAAAAACCCTCTTAGATCCTCGGAGCCCGGAAGCCTCGAATCCAGAAGCGCTCCATACCGGACCCGGGGATCGAACCCATGGTCTACCACCAATTGCTTAAGAACCCCCCCCCCCCCCCCCCCCGATCGCGAAAGCTTCGACACTGCCTTCCCAAAAGTAGGGTGAACCCATGCTCAGATCACAAGTCGCATGCTGTGAACTAGGGATTCCGTCTAAGACACTTGCGACGACTTGCAGGTACCTGACCTGCAGTGGCCTGCTACCTCTGTACCTTTCTTTGAAGATGCCAAGAGGCTCATTGACTCCTGCCTCTCGGACGAAAAGGTGTGTTTAGCTGATCATGTTTCAGGATTCGGAGTATAAAAATCCGCGGTGGGCCCCTGCGGAGGTCTTTGGAGGGTCTCTCCTGGTTTCAGGGCGCGGGGCGACAGTTCTGCATGTGACATGCTTCAGGGGTATCCATTGAGTCACCAGCACCAACGCAAGGCTGGGCTTCATGCACGTACGGGTACCCCGAAGGAAAAGAAATGCCCGGAGAAGGTGTCGTGCTCTCACCCTTTGTGCTTTGTAACGACGTCTATGGCCCGGCTCAGCTTCTCAACATCCTGTCCCACCTGAGAACAAACCAAACTCTACAAAGCCAGCCTGGAAAGTACGGGGGGTTTTCGTCGGAATCATCACTCCATGGAGCCACACAAAACATCATGAAGTCCCGACAAGAGCTGGACAAGTACTTCAAGCTTTCAAGACTTCCAACCATTCCGATGACGAAGTGCACCTTAGGCCAGAATGGTGTGAAAACACATCAGTCCTTGCGACACGTGCACATGGTATTTGCTCTGACTCCGTGCTCGAGACGTAAATTCATGAAGGCTAGCTTCTTGCAAGCTCGCGAACGCTCTGTTGCCAACGCTTCCATCTTAAAACCTTGTCCCATCATTCAAGGCCCCTATACATTCGAGAGAGAGGGAGCCCGGGGCCTTCAAGAAAGAAAGAAATCAAGCAGAGAGAGGCGAGAGAGGGAGCGAGTGAGTCGAGAGAGAAGGAGAAGGAGGTCGCGCAGTGTTGACCCTAGCCAATGAGCCACCCCTGCATAGAGTGCCTGACAGGGAAGCTGGGGGGATGAGGGGATGCAGCATGGGTACTACGGTGACCCCGCCAGAAGGGGGGGTTTGCATGAACCAGAAATATAATCTTGATAAGATTGCACGGAATTGTGTATGTATATACAGAAGGAGATGACGATTGAGTAAGCTGGCTAATGTGTGGGTTAGCCGATCTTGCAGGTCTCAAGCCTTCCCCGGACGACCGACCGACTGCAGAAACAGCGGTTGCTTGGCTTTTTCCATGCTTTCAGGCAACACTTGGCGGTTTTCCGGCTTCGAGGAGAAAGGGGCTTCAGCGTTTTCCGAGCAGATGCGGTCAGAAAAAGCTTGTCAAGTTTTTGGAGCTTTTCAACCACAGCAGTAGCAAGGAGTGTCAGGGCATCACTGTGTGCTTTCTGGTAAGGAGCACGGGCTACGTGCCTGGGTGGCCGCCGACTCTGCCGACCGAAATGAAGCTACATCTGAAATTTGGGGTCAAGTGGATACGCTGATGTGCCTGACTGCCGCCATGCCTGACTGCCGCCATGCTTGGCTGCCGCCATGCTTGACTGCCGCTGTCACGGTAGCCAGAGCTCGTGCAACATGTCTGAGCGCCATGCCAACTGTCATTGCAGATGCCTGATTGCAAAGAACATCAGAACAGCCATGTTTGATCGTCAATCGGAGGATGGGGCGCACCTACGAGACAGTATCAACCGAGATAATCGTACAGAGGCGGGCTCGGGGAGAACAGTCCATTGGCATTGGTCAGCGAGAATCGGGGGCTCGGCTGTACGAGCATCTATTCTGGGGTTATTATATACCATAGCTACTATATAAGTTTAGTGCTTCAGTTGTTCAGCCCCGATCTGTTTCTGTTTTGAGTGCTTTCCTCGTGGGCGCTTTCTGTTTGCCGAACTGCCCTCGTAGAGCTGAAAGTGGAATTTCGTCTTCCATGCCGATTTGGCAACCTCCTGTATCATACCCCCTTGACGTGTGACCTTTTGCAGGTGGATCCGGAAACGCGCTTGGTGACCTCCTGCGCTGCAGCCGCAAGGCTCTACCTCGCGCAGAAGAACCAGATCTGAGGCGGAGCCTCAGTGGCGCCCTGACTGGATGACACGACCGACCCCACTGATCTCGGTTCGTAGCCCTTCGAAACAACGGATGCCACTGATGGTGTTGGAATGTTAAAGATTGCTGGTGCATACCTATACGCATGTTTCTGCAAGTTGTCCTGTCTAGACTTGCTTCCCCGAGTTGCCCATGCCATCAACGTAGTCACTGTAGTCCATGTCAAATATCTTGGCTGTGTCATGTCTTGTATCAAGGCAACTGGCGAATGAGGCAGCGCTGCTCGCCCCAGGTTTTTTTTCCGACGAAGTTCGGTTGCGAGGCTGCAGGACTTGCTTGGAGTTTCATGCAAAGCATTCAACATTCTCCGTGCCATGCAAGTCTCAAACTGGCGGCCCTTACGATAGAGGGTGGAGGTCATGTTGAGTCTCAGCACATGACACTGAGACATCGTTGTGGTATCAGTTGACACCCATCAACGGTTCGAATTGGAGAGACACTCGAAGACCTGCCTATTTCCTTGGCGGGAGTTTCTGCCCTTATACATCGTGTCAAATGACGTACCCGATACGTCCTGTCTCACCATGAGCAGATGCTGCGTGATACTGCAGCAGGCTGCACAGCTCAGAACAGTGAGACCCTTTCTACTAGACATGTCCGAGTTATCCGAAGGGGTCTCCTAGGAGTTCCGGCTGCATTTCTGCCTGGCTGCACGGCTTTCGCAATAAGCTCCGGTGACCATCCTCATCAGATACTGTGACCAGCAGCCCACAGGCAAACGAAGGACCTGCACGAAATAACTTTTGTAACGTTTTTTTATCACCTGACCTCTCTGGATGGAGGGGCGTCAAGTGCATGCACCCTGGCTTGAAGACCCATCCTAGCATTGGAGTTTTCAAGGATGTGGGCCATGATTTGGGCAAATGTCAAAGGCCTCTCGGAGGAAGCCCTTGAAGAGGTACTCCCCTCCCTGACTGTAGTTTAACTTGTGTATCCTGATTTTCAGAACTGGGGAGAGGTTGGCATCAGATTCAGGGTTCTCCAGCATTCGGAACTAGGAGCCCCTTCGTTGACATACGCCCCTGCTAACCACAATGCCGCAGCAGGACACCAAGTTCTGTACGAATGTCGCATCAGAGAGAAAAAACCGGGCTGACTGAAGTGTGCCCCCCCCCCCCCCCCCCCCCCCACACCGCCAGGCTGAAGTGAGTTCAGTGCAGAAACCCAAAGAGACTCTACAACGATTTTCATGCACAAGAAGACGAGAAGCTTACCTGAAATCCCTCACAAGCCCACCTGAACCCACTTCCAAGCTCAGACTTTCTCTGTAAGGGAACACATCCATCTCCGCTTCGTTTGGGCAGTTCTTGCATGCTTTTTGTGTGTGCTTCGCGCCAAGTTGATTAAAATGTTCTTCTCCATGGAGTGTTTCAGAATGCCTGGGCCTCGGTATTCCTCAGTTGCGCTCAGTAAGGGCGTCTGCAGGGCTCCTCGTATCCCGGCCAGAGATTCTGTGGACCCTGCGTCATGTCGTCGCAAAGTGTGATGTCCGGCATTTCTCCGAGCATGAACTCATGCAACTGCTTGCAGAAGAGAGTGTGGAATGCCTTTCAGATCACATCTGCTGCGAGCTTCGCCGCATCCCAACAAGGCTGGTGCCAGCCGTGCTGTATTCTCTTCAGAACAGCTTGCAGTACGTCGCTGCGTCGAACCTCGACATCTCCGCCTCTCATCGCGCATACGGCATGTGTCAAGCGATATACTGCTGCCAGTTTCGCGTCAACTCTTTGATTTCTCAGATCACTCTTGAAGGTCTGCCAAGTACTGTACCAGCTTCTTGGAATGCAAAGCAAAGTCTGGGATGAAGGCTCCGGTCGACAGATTTGTAGAGACGCTAGGTCGCCAGGCCCAACCTGCCCTTATGCATGCTTCGACTACAGGCTGCTGTGTGACGAGATGAGGTCTCAGCACTCAGTCCCCCCAATGAAGAAGTACATCCTCTAAGTATAGTGCTCATACTCCTCTCCTAGCAGACCCAATGCCTTACGCTTGGATGAGCCCATTCGCCCCAAAAGAGTTCTGGATGCCTCGTGCTCACACCAGGATGAAGCTGGTCACAACGGCGCTGTTTAGCACCTCGTCCGCCGGGCCGTAGAGCCGTAGAGCTCTCCCCTTCTGCATCGCCGGGTTTGTGAAGGTTTGCGGGAAATCCGACCGGTGGCTGTGCTCTGCTTCTGACTTCGTGATGGTGGGCAACTGCCATGGTGAACCGTACTTGTATCTGCACGTGAGCCACATGAGCCGTATGTATTTACATATATATATATATACATACATATACACACATATGTATATATATATATATACATATGTATACGGATAATACCTGCCCATGCCAGTCCCAAAACAGAAGCTGTACACTTGTACACGTGGTGCGAGGTGTGTTCATGCTGAACCGGCAGCTCACCCCTCCCCAGTGGTGGGGCATTCTTCTTTGCGCGCTCGGCGCTCCTTGGTTGCCTGCACCCCCCAACTACCCTTTACTGAAAGGGGGCTTTTATACCCTGCTATTGCTAGAGGGTAGTTGGGGGGTGCTGGTGCATGCAGATGTTGAGCCTGTGTAACGCAGTTGGAGCGCGAAGCCCGAGAGGGGTGGAGCAGTGTGGAGCGAGTGAGAGGCCCGGGATGCCGCAGATTGCAGCCTCCAGTATTTGGAAAGCTTTTCAGGGCCTAGGGTTCTTTAGATTTCTCCTACAACGACCCCCGAGTTCCGAAGAATCTCCTTAAGGTGGCTGCCGTGCAGCTCTCAACTGCTGAAGACAGCCGGCAACAGGCCGGCCAACAGCAGGCCAGGGCTTACGGGTTTGAGGGGTGTCAGTGCTCAGTAACTCCGCAAAAACTCCCCCAAACATGACTCTACTCTCACTTTCTGTCAGCTCTCTCCCCTCTCTCTCTCTCTGTCTCCATGCTCGATAGCTTTCTTGACAGACCCCGAAGATGGGCGCTTGAGCCGAGTCTTCCCGATCTGATGCTCCTTCCCGAGTCAAGTGCAGTCCCTCCCCCTCCAAGGGCCCCTCTCAGGCATGGGTGGGCTTTCTGGCAGTGTCGGTCGCATGCATCACCAGTGGCCGCCGCCTTGGTCTCTCTCCTTCTTAGCCACTTCGTTGAAAGCCAGCAGAGAGCGCCCCTTCCTTCCCCAAAAAGGTCTGGCCGCAGTCTACACTGAGAAAGTCTTCAAGCACTTGGGCTGCGTTGGGCTGCGGCATGCACAGGTGAAGCAGCATGTCGCAAATACAAATGGTATCCCCCGCTTAAAATGCAGGATGTATTTAAGAGTGATCGCTCAGAGGGTAGAGCCGGTTGTTGCCTTCTGAAAAGCTTGCCGAAACTCAGGAGTGGAAACTCGAGCCGCTTGACTCAACTTGCACTCCAGAACTGCTTCTCCCAGATGCGGTCTTGTGCGTGTATGCGGGGGGTAGGCCGAGATGGTGTAGCAGTCGCTCTGGGAACGAGTGGGATTTATGAGATTAGGGCTTCCTTTCGTCCTTGCCCGGTGTCCGCGGGGGCTCTAGGACAGAGAACCGCTCTCAGCAGTTCTTCAACAAGCTTGCGCCCTCCAGGCCTCTGGGTGCGCAACATGCATCTGGCGTGCTGGTCCTTGATCGCGGTGTCCTGGGGCCTTGTCTTCAAGGATGGATCAAAGATTCGATCCTCGGATGAATTTGGGACTCATCCTCGAGGCCATGTGCCATCAGCTTGTCGATTTTTTTGGTTCGAAAGCCGTGATTTCCCCTTTCCGGCGCCTTTTTTGCGCTGCACGCCCAAGGGAGGGGGTGGGGGGGGGTTGCCTGTTGTCCATTTCAGGCACGGAGCTGTGAACTTCATGTGTGTATTGGCCCATGTAATTTCCTGCACGTCCGGATTCCGCACCGACCCCCAAAGTGTCGTGCCAGGAAATGGCAACATAGGTTCGGATGGTGCCGGCTGGTCTGCAACCAGGGCTTGGCTACTTGATACCCCTCAGTTACTGGCGGAATGTAGCTTCGCCCAAGGTGATGATGGATAGTTTGGAACACAAGTACAAACATATGTCTCCTTTGGAAAAACAGTGCTGCAGAAAGTGTGCCTAAAGCAGTTGTGGAGCATCGTAGAAGTGCTAGGGAGTACGCGAGTACACGATGATGTTTAATGCATGGACCCGATGCTACGTTGATCGCACAGTTAGATCTGGCGATGTTTATCAGCCTGGCCTGTGCCAATAGTTCGATAGCAGCGGTATACCGTGTAGAAAGCACAGGCGGGTGTATTTGGGGGTCAAATCTCAACGTCACCGCTGCCCATCAGTGATTCATGACATGACCCGCAATGAAACGGCGGTTTCTCAAATTCAGGCGCGGCACCAGAAATTGAACCATGCTTTGGCTGCCTGAAGCCTTTTGGGATGCATCGGGAAGCCGATAGCCTCACGAACTGACTTGGAATGAAAGCTGATCTCCGAGGCGAGAAGGGCTTCTTCCTGGGCTGGAACTTCCTCGTCTGTGCTTTGCCACAGTCGGCAGGTGGAGTTGAGGTCCAGGGCACTGGGTTCTCGGGACCTCTTGGGGCCCTGCAAGCATTTCGCTGCCAATTCGTCAGTGTCCTTCGAGTCCTTCGAGCCCTTGCCGCCGAGGTGTAGTAATCGGCCTACAAGCTTTGGGCGGTATGGCAGTTGCCGTGGTCGCAAAGTATGCGGACAACATCTCGAGACTGGATGGCATAATCTGGCTGCCGGTGTATCTTCGTAGGGTGCGGGTGTTCAAGTGTCCCATTCTATTGACGATCGACTTTGTTGCCCGGGACTAGACCCAAGCAGGAGACATCAAATACTGCAGCAAGCACTTGATGCAAAGCTCCAGGTCTAGCTGACAATTTGACATCCCTCTTTCGGTTTGGCCCTGTGAGCGGTACCAAGATGAATACCCATCAACGTGCAAGAAGCCAACGTGCGGTATTGTCTCAGTAAGAGCAGCACAATACAACATGCGCTAGCATTGTCGGAAGTCGGAATCATACTTGAAGACCCCGACCCCCAACGTTGTGTTCATGGACGTTGACCGCTGCCTTCCACGATAAGGAAAGGATTTGCAACGGCTGCTGACCTGCATAGGGGATCGCAAACTTTTGACTTGTTGAGTGGGGTTTGGCTGGGAAGACGCTTTCTGTTTGGGCAGCTCCTCTCCCTTCCTCTCTCTCTCTCTCTCTCCCTCTCCCTCTCCCTCCATCGGTTGGAGGGAGGAGTTGGTGTGGATCAAAGCCTAGCTGCGATGGGGCCAGAGGCCTCGGCGATGTAAGCTCTCAGGGAGGAAGGCTCTTTTTTCGACTTGCTGAAGCAACTGCCCCATGAGTTCATGCAGCCTTCTGTCAGGTCTTGCACCTGCAAGGGTCGCAACGGCGGCAAAATGCACAGAAATGCAGAAGTGGACCTAAGGCGATCTCCATTATTCTCACGTGTGTGTTCTCCGTGTTCTTGTTCGAGCTGCGGCCCTCCGCGACCTTCACCGCCGGCACAACGCTGGTCCTCTGTTCTCTGCAGCTTGGCTGCCTTCTTCTGTAGATGGGCATCGCCCAACAGATGGGGCAGCCTGAATATACCCCAAATACTACAACTACTACAATCCTCATTCTAGGATCCCCCAACACGGGTACACGGTACCCCACTTTTGCCACAACGTGTGTTGATCAGCCAGGTCAGGCCAGGTCATCTATGCAATGGGCATGGGTATTCGACTCTGTGCCCTCTTTTGACCAAGGTATTTGTACACAAGTCCCTTCCCCAGAGGGCCTTTCCGTTCGATCTCTTGGGTGCCGAGTTCTTGCCCCTGGCAGCCGGAACTCGAAAGCCATGCTTTCTACCAATCTCACACACGTTTGCCACAAAGAAAGCTGCTATAGCTGAAGCTGCAAGGACCCGCAAAAACGGGCCAGTCGATCAAGTACATGGAAGTGGCGCAGGAGGCATCGAATTTTTTGGCAGCCACGCATTGCTGCGAAGTCCACTGCTCCCCCGATTGTGGTACAGACAAATGCACACCACATGCCAGGACCTGGAAGATCACCGTAATACCTCTGACAAAGTTCAGCAGAACGGTGCCTTCAGAATAGGCAGATGGGCGGGCGCACGTTTGTTTCTGGAATCCTTGCATTGGCGTGGAAGCATGGTGGGGTGCTATCTCGTGCACGTGCAAATTACTAGCCATTGCCGTGATGTTTTTAGGACAGCTGTTCATCGCACTTGCTGTAGGAGTCTGCGTCGTTCGGCTCTGGCGGATCAATATTTCAATTCTGAGACTAAGATTCGAAAGCTGTGGCGAGTCAGAGGAGAGCTTGCGCGGCTTGAAACTTTGTGTGCGTGCGCCTCTCTCTGCATATGTCTGGCCGCAACTCGCTGCAGGCAAACCAGAAGGCAAATGAGAGTCACCGCAGATAAAAGGGCGCTTGCAGCCGTGCTGCCTGGCCTCACAAAGCAACCCTAACGAGTCATAAGCTTAGTTGTCTCCATGGACCGAGGCACCAGGGTTTAGGGTATGGTCCGAAGGCAGTGCTGCCCTTATGCTGCCCTTATGGGACAGGCGGACACAAACCCTACAACAATTCTCAACAGAATAGTGCGAAATGCTTAACACCCCCCTGCTCCCCAAAAAAACAACAAAAGAATTATAAGGAGAATACAGGGATCTTTTTTTTGGGGGGGGTTCTTAAGCAAACAGTGGAAGATGCCGAGCCCAAAGTTCCTCTGCTGACGCCGCCGGCGCTTCCAGGTTGGGTCAATGGCTACGGCTGTTCCACAAAAAAGGGGCACCCGCCCATCTTTGATATAGGCCGTCTTATAATTCGGAGTTGCCCATGGACTCCCAAAGTATCTCCCCGCAGCGTCAACTGGAAAGTCGACAATGTAACACTCAGCTGCTACGTTAGCAACGAGGAGGCTTAGGATTCTTACACATCTTCGACTTTGCCGGGCCTCCATGCGCTCGCAGAGGCCGCCTTATCAGGCTCGGGGGGCTAAGTGGCATCGCCAGCGTAGCAGTGATAGTCTTTGAGTCCTTTTGTTTCGTCCCTGCGCAGAGATCGCTGCGACTGAATTGCCGGGATTCGGGTGTTTGCAAGGCCCCCGCGGCACCAGCAGCGAACGCCAGGATTCATACCGTGTGGTTCAGATTCATGTGACAGTGTAGAAAGCCTATGGGGCATCAACGGCGCAGTGTGGGGTGAGCTTGCTTCTCCTCCGTGCGAAGGAATGGCTACGACCAGACCATGCTTCCGGGCTCTGGCGCTCCCACCGGGGCACATAGTGAGGACGTTGGAACAACGACGTAATGGCATCAGTGGCATGACAGTGCTTCAGGGTGTGCACCTCGCAGTGTACACATATATATATATATAATACATATGTATAACATATATATATATATGTATACACACATATACACATGTGTGAGCGCGCGTGCGAACACCCATGTAATGTTGTTTCAGGAACCCCGATACGGTAGCGAGTTGAGTAGCATGGAACTCCAACTTGGCTTAGGCGGCAGTTCGGCGCGACATCCTGCTACAGCCAGGACTGCAGCTGCCCAGCCTGCGACACGCATCGTACCTTCCACGCGCTGCTGCGAGGGTTCGGGGGGGGGGAGAGTTTGCGCAATTGGGTGGGATGTGCTCGGTTAGTTGCATGATTAGCTTGGATTCCTTGTGGCTGGGACTGCCAAGCCAAAGCCAGAGCAAAGAGCTGACAGATGCTGACAGAGCAGGGATGAAAGTATTCAATCTTCTTCGATTCGGGATGTTGAACATGCACAATTTCACAATTTTGTGCCTGCTCGGCACAGGGTTTTCGTGGTGAGCTACTGTTGTGGACCGAGTGGCGGGAGGGGAAAGGTTGTTGATGAGCTGAAACGCTAGGGTGGCGCCGTCATCGCACTGCGACTCAAAGCTTTGATCGCCTGCATAGGTCGGAGCCTCCGAAACGCGCCGGGCAGGGCAGGCATGCCCAACAATGTAGAAAGATAATTATGTGGGGTTGGTTCTAATTTGTGGTTCCTTTCGGGTTCGTACGGTACCTTTGAAAGGGATCATACCATGGAGAACAGTCCGTTGGAAAGTTTCGTTGATGGCATGGTTTCGGCTTGAACACACAGCTGGTACCCGAAAACTGGGCAAAGTGTCATTCTGCATTTTGCGTACGGCCTCTTCTCTGTCCGACTGCTTCTAGAAAGCTTCTTCGGGTAATCGGGTAATGCATGTTTGAAAGCTGTTTGGTTGAGACTTGGATTTTTGCTGCAGACGACATGGTGTAAGCTTGCTCTGGTAATTGTTCAGGGCTTTCATGAAGTCGGCATGTGCCTTCGTGGCACTTTTGTGTGCGGCGCGGTAAGGTTGAAGTTGAAGTACTGTGGTGAGTTCAGCACGAGCTTTGCATTGAAGGGATGTAGTAATTCGAGAGTGTCACTAAACCCTCTACCGCTCCTGTTCGATGCATAGCGTGCGTTCTGTAATTGGCAGGGGCCTCGACTCAACCCCAAGCCCTTGACCGAATTAGCCTCTGCTAGAACCTTCAGGGCTTAGATTTTCTGGTCCGGCTTCCCTCCTTCCTCCAGGAACTTGCAAGACATCCCCCCCCCCCCCCCCCCCCCCCCCCCCCCCCCCCCCCCCCCCCCCCCCTCCCCGGAATCTGGTAAAGCTACAGTAGCCAGACCTACCCGTCGGCGACAAGAGCCCGAGTGGGATGCCAGCGAGGCCTGGGAGGTAGATCAGCGATGCACAATTGCATGCAACCGATGCCGATGTTGTGATGTGTGGGTCAGTGATAGGGCGAAGTGCTGCAAGCATGATGACATGATGCGAGAACTGTGAGACTTGCAATCCAGTTTGCTCAAGCCTGTCGTGCTGTCCTGCAGCCTGTAGCTCGACACCTCCTACCCCCTTCACTGCAGACTCTAGCATGACCAAGGCCGAGCAGAAGAAGGCCGTGCAGTTCACCCGCATGTGCAAGTTCTGGCGGACGAACGAGTGCAAGATGGGGACGGGCTGCACGTTTGCCCATGACACTGCCGAGTTGCGGCCGAGCCCGAAGCCATGCTTCGAGTTCTCCAAGAGCGGCTCCTGCGTGCGCGGGCAGGCGTGCAGATTCGTGCACGTGATGGACAGCATGAAGAGCAGCGGCAAGTCCAGCGGCTTGCGCATAAGCGTGCAGCAGGCGAGCCCCAGGCAACATTTGCTTCCAAGCGCCAGCACGTGGCCGATGGCATTTGCACCTTATGCTCCAGCTTGCCTGAGCACCCCGATGCCGGAACTCGGCCACCTGCTGCCCCCGCAGCCAAGCGTTGTCCCGAGCTGCTTCCGACCGCCACCCGGACTGGAAGATGTGGCCCGACGGCGCACGCCCAACTTGACAGTGGCTCCGGAGACTCTGGATGGAGATTCCCGCCGCTCCAGTCTGAGTGACCTTTCATTGGGTTTGGACTGCGCCCTTCCCATCCCCAAGGCAGTAGACCTTGAACAGAAGTGGGCAGCAGATGATGCAACCGTAGCCACGCAGAGCTTGACATCCACCATGTGCCTGAGTACTACTCCGACCAGCTTCAGCGACTCGGACGGCTCTGACGGCACGTCATTCTGGTTGTGATGCGGTTGTAGCATTGTAGCAGCCTGCCTTACATCCAAGCTCCGCACTTCGCCCAGATGAACAGAATTGAGCAGAGATAAACAGCAACAGTAGCAGCTATTGGCCGTCCACTCCTCACCCACTGTCTTAAAAAGTCAAAGGTGCAAGCTTGAACAGACTTTCCGACAATTTTGAGAGAGCGACTGTCGGGCGCAAGTTGCATGCACAGCCAGAATTTCCTCTTTTTAAAAGAGGGAGATGGCATGCAAGTTGTGGCCGATAATGCAACTACTGTTGAGCTTGTAGGGGGGCAGGCTCTGATCCATGTCACATGCCACATGCCGAGTCAGTTTGTATTTGAACCCACACAGACATGCCACATGCCATGTCTGTTTGCCCGCAAGCTCACGTATAGATTCCAGGATTGCGCAGGATACAATTGTACACAAACCCATGCCGTTGCGCATCCTGGCATGTCCAGCAGCATGCCCGCTGCCCGTATTGCTGCAGAGTCAGCAGTAGGGTCCTACGTATTGCGAGCGAATTTTCGTGCGCCCTGCAATCAGGCGCGTAGCTCTGGTGCACTGTGCAGATCAATGAGCATGCTTGCCGTGCTGTGCCCACACTGTTGCGTTTTTGTATCTCGTGCTAGCACGTTTGCTGTTGCTAGACCGGTCCCGGAGGCCTCCGCGCAACAGCACAGTCCACACAGCACACGTGGCATTGCAGCATTCGAGCTCCCGCGTGTTTGTGTTGTGGTCCAAGTCTGCCATAGCATAGCGACCTGCAGTGGTGCCAGCAGCCACCATTCCCGCGATATTGTGGGAGGGCTCGTGCCCAAACCTAGAACCTGGACGAAAAAACAAGGAATTCGGAGGCTTGGCAATGTCAATCGGGTCAGATTGACAGACAAGGTGGTCCGGTTTCATGCCCAGCTGCTAGTGAGACACAGGATGCTTGCTTTTTGGGCTCCAACCGCGTGGTCAAACGTAGGTGATCGTAGGCCCATCTTTTTAGCCAGGGCTTGCTCAGAGGATTGCACAGATCCTGGCTGAATTTGCTGCCGCGGGCATCATCAGTAGAATGACGAAGTCCGAGCAGAAGAAGGCCGTGAAATTCACTCGCATGTGCAAGTTCTGGCGGACGAACGAGTGCAAGATGGGGACGGACTGCACGTTTGCCCATGACACTTCGGAGTTGCGGCCGAGCCCAAAGCCCTGCTTCGAGTTCTCCAAGACTGGGAGTTGCGCACGTGGACAAGCATGCAGATTCGTTCATACAGTGGACATGAATAGCAGTGGGACATTCAATGACATTTTGCCAACAATGCAAGAGGTGAGCTACGTGCAGAATCCTCCTGCCGGATCGGTGGCGTTTGAAGCGCCAGCGTGCATGGGCGTACCCATGCCACAATTGGGCCAAACGCGGCCTGCATTGCAGGACCTTGGCTCGATCCCTTGTCTCCGCCCACCACCTGGTATCGACGACATGGGCATGATAGGACTTGAGCCACATGGCCTGCGCTGGTCCAGCTTGAAAGTAGACATGGATAGAGACTCCTGCCGCTCCAGCCTGAGCGAACTCTCGTTGGGTTTGGAATGTGCCCCGCTGCCCATTCCGAAAGCAGCAGACCTTGAACAGATGTGGGCAGCGGATGACGCAACCGTAGCCACGCAGAGCTTGACATCCACCATGTGCCTGAGCACTACTCCGACCAGCTTCAGCGACTCGGACGGCTCGGACGGTATGTCATTCTGGCTGTGAGATCTATGATAGAAAGCGTTTCCGATATAGGGCTCTACATGCGTTTAGAGTAAGAAACATAAGAATCAGAAGGGCATATCAGCATATCAGTAAATCACCTGGGGCTCTCTTCTCGTGCTTTTCAAAGCAAGCTTCTGACATCCGGCAGCGCCTTGCACTCTGATGCAAGCATCAGCAGTCTACCTGGCGTTGCCGGTGAGCATGCCACCTTTGCGGCTGTAGCGACGCATCGAGCTGCTACACGACATCTCTAAATCCATGAACATATGTGACCACCATCCTTCGAATAATGAGTTGTGGCAAAGTGATCAGTGTGTAGCAGAATGAGCGCCGCGGAGTATTCTTGCGCATATCCACAAATCACCGTGAAGCTGGTTAAGACTTTGCAAGTGATGAAAAACAAATGCCGCGGCTGCTGTGTCTGAAGAGATCTGGCTGGAGTGCAGATCACAGCAACTGCATCTGGATTGACTTGCGCGTGCTAGGATGATGCATTTTCTTGCCTGCAGCAGCAGATATCGTCCGCCTGTAGCTCAAAACATCTTGTCCCCTCCACTGCAGCCTCATCTAGCATGACCAAGGCCGAGCAGAAGAAATCCGTGCAGTTCACCCGCATGTGCAAGTTCTGGCGGACGAACGAATGCAAGATGGGGACAGGCTGTACGTTTGCCCATGACACTGCCGAGTTGCGGCCGAGCCCAAAGCCATGCTTTGAGTTCTCCAAGACTGGTTGTTGCGTGCGCGGGAAGGCATGCAGATTCGTTCACCTGGCGGATGGCAATGATGTCAAGAAGAGCGGTGGCAAATCCAGCGGCTTGCGCGTAAGCGTGCAGCAGGCGGGTGCCGGGCAACATCCGCTTGCTCCCGCCAGCGTGTGGCCGATGGCATTTGCACCTTATGTGCCAGCTGGCCTGAGCACTCAGGTGCCGGAACTCGGCCACATGCTGCCCCCGCTCCAGCAAAGCGTTGTCCCGAGCCCCTGCTTCCGCCCGCCACCTGGACTAGAAGACGCGGGCCTGATGGGTGTTGGGGGAAATGGTGCGTGCTCCACGGTGAAGTTGATGGACGGAGGGTCGCGCCGCTCCAGTTTCAGCGATGCCCCGCTGGGTTTGGAGCATCTTCTGTCAATCCCCAAGGCAGACCCGGACGATTTGGCCACGCACAGCTGGACGTCGACCATGTGCCTGAGCTCTACACCATCGAGCTTCAGTGAGTCGGACAATCCTGAAGGGACATCTTTTTGGCTGTGAGTTCCCGTGTGTCACGTTGACAGTTTTCTCGCCGATCTCTGGTATGCCAATACCACTTATAGTTTCTAGCTTGGGATCAGGCTTTCCGCAGCCCTTGTCCGCGAATTCTCCCAGTGACTCCCCCCTGTCGACCTGTCTGCTGCTAGCAGTTAGCATGCCACAGCGGGTTGTTCAGTAAAGAGATGTTCTGGCAGTCTTTGCAAGAATGAGCATCACCACAGGGCGTCCCCAGGCCCCCCCACCCCGCTGTTAATCCATTTGCTTGCAAGTTGATGCAACGTGCCCGTTTTGCTTTGAATGCCTTTGGTTTTGTTATTGCACGGTCTTTAGGCTTGTTGTTTTTCTTTTTGTTCAGGGTCTGTGTGTCTTGGTGTGTGCCGAAGCTCAAAGGCATGAAATGAATTGGCTCTCAAGGCCCTGTTTGCAGGAGTAATTGTTCGAGTCATTAATGTATATTTCAACCCACTGTACATTCCAATCCTCGGAGCGGAAGCGCCATCATTCCCTTTCTAAAGCTTCAGCGGATTCGGGGGGCTTTTGCCCTTTCGCAGTTGTGGGCATGATTCAGCCTTCGGTCACGTTGAGGTTGCAGGTGTCCGAATCAGAATGTACAGAAGGAGATCGGCCTGTGCCCCTGCGGGCATGACCGTGCACACGGTGCGGTCTTGCACATCCTTCCTATGGTTCCGAACGACGTCGCTCCAAGTGACTCGAGTACTTATACTGCGCATAAGGTGATGTTACCATCATGAAAACAGCTTGAACTGACAAGCTATATATCATTGCCCTGTGCCGACATGAGTATTCGATGTCTTGAAATTTCTTGGAATAATCCGTCAGCATGTTGCCTACTGCTGCAGAATCAGTAGTCGATGTTGTGCTGCTGGTTCTTTCCTCAGGAGACGAGGTACGTGGTTTGATTTTCGATTGCCTGCGAGAGTTCCAATAGTAACTGATGGAGTGCGGTGCCATGCACGACTCGTGCGGTCCTTGTAGTTGCCAGTACCTTTTTCAGTTTTGTGCTCCGGCATCAGCACTTCCCAGGCACCGTAGACCCACATGCGCCTTTTCTTGAAACATGCGCAAGAGCCACGGCATGCGATCACGCATGAAGCTGTAATATAGAGCTCGCGCATCTCAGCGCAAGTGATCCGATCAGGTTGTCCCTGCGGATGGCGGGGACGCTTGATTCCGGTGTGTCAACACACGCGGCACCGACGGAACAAAACCATATGCTGCCGAACCTGACCTACTACATGCGACGACATGCGATCATGAACGTTGTTAGGCCTTTTCTTGACCACTATCCTGTATGTTTTTCTGCAGTCCTGCAGCCTGCAAAGCTCGAAACCTCTTGTCCCCGCCACTGCAGCCTCATCTAGCATGACCAAGGCTGAGCAGAAGAAAGCCGTGCAGTTCACCCGCATGTGCAAGTTCTGGCGGACGAACGAGTGCAAGATGGGGACGGACTGCACGTTTGCCCATGACACTGCCGAGTTGCGGCCGAGCCCAAAGCCATGCTTCGAGTTCTCCAAGACTGGCTCCTGCGTGCGCGGGCAGGCATGCAGATTCGTTCACCTGGCGGATGGCAATGGTGGCAAGAAGAGCGGCGGCAAATCCAGCGGCTTGTGCGTAAGCGTGCAGCAGGCGGGCGCCGGGCAACATCCGCTTGCGGGCGCCAGCGGGTGGCCGATGGCATTTGCGCCTTATGCGCCAGCTGGCGTGAGAACCCCGATGCCGGAACTCGATCACATGCTGCCCCCGCTCCAGCCAAGCGTTGTCCCGAGCTCGTGCTTCCGCCCACCACCAGGACTAGGAGACGCGGTCTTGATGGGTGTTGGGGGCAATGGCCTGTGCTCCGCCGTGAAGTTGATGTCGGACGGAGGGTCGCGCGGCTCCAGTTTCAGCGATGCCCCGCTGGGTTTGGAGCATCTTCTGTCAATCCCCAAGGCAGACCCTGACGATTTGGCCACGCACAGCTGGACGTCCACCATGTGCCTGAGCTCTACACCAACGAGCTTCAGTGAGTCGGACGGTCCTGAAGGGACATCTTTTTGGTTGTGAATTCCCATGTGGCACATTGATAGTTTACTCGCCGATCTCTGTCATCTCTGTTGTGCCACGTCCAATTATCTAGCTTATATAGTATCCGGCTTTCCGCAGCCCTTGCCCCTCCCAGCTTCCCCTGCCTGCAGCTAGCAAACCACAACTGAGGGTTGTTTAGTCATGAGATCTTCTGGCAGTATTTGCAACCCCCTGGTCGACAGAGTCAAGAACTCCGGAAGTTGATGCAGCATGCTCGAGTTGCTTTGAATGGCTTTGGCTTTGATTCATGTTTGCACAGACTTTAGGGCTTAAGTTTTTGTTTCCTTTTTGTTCAGGGTCTGGGTTTCTTGGTGTGTGCCGAAGCCCAACAACAGTAGCTCTAAGGGCCTGTTCGAAGCGAGTAACTGTTCGAGTGATGTATATTTCAACTCGCTGTACCTTTAAATTATTGGGGCGGACGAAAGAGCCATCATTGGCTTTCTAGTTGTGGGTACCTTGGTGGTCACGTCGAGGTGCAGGTGTCCGAAATCACAAGGCACAGAGGGAGATCGGAAAGGAATGTGCCTGCGCTGCCCGGCATGAGCGTCCACACGGTGCGGGCTTGCATTTCCAAATTCCTAACGACGTCGCTCCAGATGATTCGCGTACACTACACATACAGCGATGTTTCATGACAGCTTGAACATATACAGAATGGCCCTGCGCCGACATTCGAAATAGTGGTTTTTGGAATATCCGTCAGCATGTTGCCTACTGCTGCAGAATCAGCAGTAGATGTTGTGCAGCTGGTGGTTTTTTCAGGAGACGACGTGTGTGGTTTGATGTTCGATTGCCTGCGAGAGTTCCAACAGTAACTGATGGAGTGCGGTGCCATGCACGACTTTTTCAGATGTGAGGTCTTCCCAGGCACCGTAGACCCACGTGCGCCTTTTTGAAACATGCGCAAGAGCCACGGCATGCGATCACGCATGAAGCTGTACATAGAGCTCGCGCATCTCAGCGCAAGTGATCCGATCAGGTTGTCCCTGCGGATGGCAGGGGCGCTTGATTCCGGTTTGTCAACACATGCAGCACCGACGGAACAAAGCCACATGCTGCCGAACCTGACGTACTACATGCGACTGTGTGCGATCGTTGAACGTTATTAGGCCCTGTTGGGCCTTTGGCCACTATCCTGTAGTCGTTTCTGCAGTCCTGCAGCCTGCAAAGCTCGAAACCTCTCGTCCCCGCCACTGCAGCCTCATCTAGCATGACCAAGGCCGAGCAGAAGAAAGCCGTGCAGTTCACCCGCATGTGCAAGTTCTGGCGGACGAACGAGTGCAAGATGGGGACGGACTGCACGTTTGCCCATGACACTGCCGAGTTGCGGCCGAGCCCAAAGCCATGCTTCGAGTTCTCCAAGACCGGCTCCTGCGTGCGCGGGCAGGCATGCAGGTTCGTTCACCTGGTGGATGGCAATGGTGGCAAGAAGAGCGGCGGCAAATCCAGCGGCTTGCGCGTGAGCGTGCAGCAGGCGGGCACCAGGCAACATCTGCTTGCGGGCGCCAGCGCGTGGCCGATGGCATTTGCACCTTATGCGCCAGCTGGCGTGAGCACCCCGATGCCGGAACTCGACCACATGCTGCCCCCGCTCCAGCCAAGCGTTGTCCCGAGCCCCTGCTTCCGCCCGCCACCCGGACTAGAAGACGCGGGCTTGATGGGTGTTGGGGGAAATGGTGCGTGCTCCACCGTGAAGTTGATGGACGGAGGGTCGCGCCGCTCCAGTTTCAGCGATGCCCCGCTGGGTTTGGAGCATCTATTGTCAATCCCCAAGGCAGACCCTGACGATTTGGCCACGCACAGCTGGACGTCGACCATGTGCCTGAGCTCTACACCATCGAGCTTCAGTGAGTCGGACGGTCCTGAAGGGACATCTTTTTGGTTGTGAATTCCCATGTGGCACATTGATAGTTTCCTCGCCGATCTCTGTTGTGCCACGTCCATGTACCTAGCTTATAGTATCCGGCTTTCCACAGCCCTTGCCCCCGAAATGCTCCCAGCCACCCCTGCCTGCAGCTAGCAAACCACAACCGAGGGTTGTTTAGTACTGACATCTTGTCTCAAATTTGCAAGGACAAGAATCACCACAGGGCGTGTCCGCCCCCTGTTGATGCAGCGTGCTCGATTTGCTTTGAATAGCTTTGGCTTTGGCTTCGTTGTTGCACAGGCTTTATAGGGTTTAAGTTATTGTTCTCGTTTTCTTCAAGGTCTGGGTTTCTTGGTGTGTGCCGAAGCCCAACAACATTAGCTCTAAGGCCCTGCTCGAAGTGAGTAACAGTCGAGTGATGTGTATTTCGATTCCACTCACTGTACCTGTCAATCCTGGGAGCGGACGAAAGAGCCATCATTGCCTTTCTAGAACGCAAGTGGTATCGGAAGTTCTTCCGCTTTTTGCAGTTGTGGTTGCAGGTGTCCGATATATCACAAGGCACAGAGGGAGATCGGAAGGGAAAGTGCCTGCGCTTCCCGGCATGAGGGTGCACACGGTGCGGGCTTGCGTTTCCACATTCCTAACGACGTCGCTCCACATGACTCGAGTGCACTACATATAGCGATGTTACATGACAGCTTGAACTCACGATATCAAACTAGTTTTTTTGGAATATCTTGTAATATCCGTCAGCATGTTGCCTACTGCTGCAGAATCAGCAGTAGATGTCGTGCAGCTGGCGGTTTCCTCAGGAGACGACGTACGTGGTTTGATTTTCGGTTGCCTGCGAGAGTTCCAACAGCAACTGATGGAGTGCGGTGCCATGAACGACTCGTGCGGCCCTTGTAGTTGTCAGATGTTATCAGTACCTTTTTTAGATGTGTGCTCCGGCATCAGCACTTCCCAGGCACCGTAGACACACATGCGCCTTTTTGAAGCATGCGCAAGAGCCACGGCATGCGATCACGAATGAAGCTGTATAGAGAGCTCGTGCATCTCAGCGCAAGTGATCCGATCAGGTTGTCCCTGCGGATGGCAGGGACGCTTGATTCCGGTTTGTCAAAACACATGCAGCACCGACGGAACGAAACCACATGCTGCCGAACCTGACCTATACTACATGCGACGACATGCGATCATGAACGTTGTTAGGCCTTTTCTTGACCACTATCCTGTATGTTTTTCTGCAGTCCTGCAGCCTGCAAAGCTCGAAACCTCTTGTCCCCTCCACTGCAGCCTCATCTAGCATGACCAAGGCCGAGCAGAAGAAATCCGTGCAGTTCACCCGCATGTGCAAGTTCTGGCGGACGAACGAGTGCAAGATGGGGACGGACTGCACGTTTGCCCATGACACTGCCGAGTTGCGGCCGAGCCCAAAGCCATGCTTCCAGTTCTCCAAGACCGGCTCCTGTGCGCGCGGGCAGGCATGCAGATTCGTTCACCTGGTGGATGGCAATGGTGGCAAGAAGAGCGGCGGCAAATGCTTGCGCGTGAGCGTGCAGCAGGTTGGCGCGGCGGTCGCCAGGCAACATCCGCTTACGGGCGCCAGCGCGTGGCCGATGGCATTTGCACCTTATGCGCCAGCTGGCGTGAGCACCCCGATGCCGGAACTCGGCCACATGCTGCCCCCGCTCCAGCCAAGCGTTGTCCCGAGCCCCTGCTTCCGCCCGCCACCCGGACTAGAAGACGCGGGCTTGATGGGTGTTGGGGGAAATGGTGCGTGCTCCACCGTGAAGTTCATGGACGGAGGGTCGCGCCGCTCCAGTTTCAGCGATGCCCCGCTGGGTTTGGAGCATCTATTGTCAATCCCCAAGGCAGACCCTGACGATTTGGCCACGCACAGCTGGACGTCGACCATGTGCCTGAGCTCTACACCATCGAGCTTCAGTGAGTCGGACGGTCCTGAAGGGACATCTTTTTGGTTGTGAATTCCCATGTGGCACATTGATAGTTTACTCGCCGATCTCTGTCATCTCTGTTGTGCCACGTCCATGTACCTAGCTTATAGTATCCGGCTTTCCACAGCCCTTGCCCTTGCCCCCGAAATCTCCCAGCCACCCCTGCCTGCAGCTAGCAAACCACAACTGAGGGTTGTTTAAAGTAATGAGATCTTCTGGCAGTATTTGCAAGGACGAGAATCACCACAGGGCGTGTCCGCCCCCTCTTGATGCAGCGTGCTCGGCTTCGTTGCACAGGCTTTTTGGGGTTTAAGTTATTGTTCTCGTTTTCTTCAAGGTCTGGGTTTCTTGGTGTGTGCCGAAGCCCAACAACACTAGCTCTAAGGCCCTGTTCGAAGTGAGTAATTGTTCGAGTGATGTGTATTTCGATTCAACTCACTGTACCTGTCAATCCTGGGAGCGGACGAAAGAGCCATCATTGCCTTTGTAGAACGCTAAGTGGTATCGGAAGTTCTTCCGCTTTTTGCAGTTGTGGGTACCTTGGTGGTCACGTTGAGGTTGCAGGTGTCCGATATATCACAAGGCACAGAGGGAGATCGGAAGGGAAAGTGCCTGCGCTTCCCGGCATGAGGGTGCACGCGGTGCGGGCTTGCATTTCCAAATTCCTACGACGTCGCTCCACATGACTCGAGTACACTACACATACAGCGATGTTACATGACAGCTTGAACTCACGAGCTATACAGAATGCCGATATCAAACTATAGCTTTTTTGTGGAATATCTTGTAATATCCGTCAGCATGTTGCCTACTGCTGCAGAATCAGCAGTAGATGTTGTGCAGCTGGTGGTTTTCCTCAGGAGACGACGTACGTGGTTTGATTTTCGATTGCCTGCGAAAGTTCCAACAGCAACTGATGGAGTGCGGTGCCATGCACGACTCGTGCGGTCCTTGTAGTTGTCAGTAACCTTTTTCAGATGTGTGCTCCGGCATCAGCACTTCCCAGGCACCGTAGACACACATGCGCCTTTTTGAAGCATGCGCAAGAGCCACGGCATGCGATCACGCATGAAGCTGTATAGAGAGCTCGTGCATCTCAGCGCAAGTGATCCGATCAGGTTGTCCCTGCGGATGGCAGGGACGCTTGATTGCGGTTTGTCTAAACATGCAGCACCGACGGAACAAAACCACATGCTGCCGAACCTGACCTACTACATGTGACGACATGCGATCATGAACGTTGTTAGGCCTTTTCTTGGCCACTATCCTAATGCGTTTCTGCTGTCCTGCAGCCTGCAAAGCTCGAAACCTCTTGTCCCCTCCACTGCAGCCTCATCTAGCATGACCAAGGCCGAGCAGAAGAAATCCGTGCAGTTCACCCGCATGTGCAAGTTCTGGCGGACGAACGAGTGCAAGATGGGGACGGCACGTTTGCCCATGACACTGCCGAGTTGCGGCCGAGCCCAAAGCCATGCTTCCAGTTCTCCAAGACCGGCTCCTGTGCGCGCGGGCAGGCATGCAGATTCGTTCATCTGGTGGATGGCAATGGTGGCAAGAAGAGCGGCGGCAAATCCAGCGGCTTGCGCGTGAGCGTGCAGCAGGCGGTCGCCAGGCAACATCCGCTTGCGGACGCCAGCGCGTGGCCGATGGCATCTGCACCTTATGCGCCAGCTTGCGTGAGCACCCCGATGCCGGAACTCGGCCACATGCTGCCCCCGCTCCAGCCAAGCGTTGTCCCGAGCCCCTGCTTCCGCCCGCCACCCGGACTAGAAGACGCGGGCTTGATGGGTGTTGGGGGAAATGGTGCGTGCTCCACCGTGAAGTTGATGGACGGAGTGTCGCGCCGCTCCAGTTTCAGCGATGCCCCGCTGGGATTGGAGCATCTATTGTCAATCCCCAAGGCAGACCCTGACGATTTGGCCACGCACAGCTGGACGTCGACCATGTGTCTGAGCTCTACACCATCGAGCTTCAGTGAGTCGGACGGTCCTGAAGGGACATCTTTTTGGTTGTGAATTCCCATGTGGCACATTGATAGTTTACTCGCCGATCTCTGTCATCTCTTTTGTGCCACGTCCATGTACCTAGCTTATAGTATCCGGCTTTCCACAGCCCTTGCCCTTGCCCCCGAAATCTCCCAGCCACCCCTGCCTGCAGCTAGCAAACCACAACTGAGGGTTGTTTATAGCAATGAGATCTTCTGGCAGTATTTGCAAGGACGAGAATCACCACAGGGCGTGTCCGCCCCCTGGTTGCTTTGAATGGCTTTGGTTTTGGCTTCGTTGTTGCACAGGCTTTATAGGGTTTAAGTTATTGTTCTCGTTTTCTTCACGGTCTGGGTTTCTTTGTGTGTGCCGAAGCCCAACAGCATTAGCTCTAAGGCCCTGTTCGAAGTGAGTAATTGTTCGAGTGATGTGTATTTCGATTCAACTCACTGTACCTGTCAATCCTGGGAGCGGACGAAAGAGCCATCATTGCCTTTGTAGAACGCTAAGTGGTATCGGAAGTTCTTCCGCTTTTTGCAGTTGTGGGTACCTTGGTGGTCACGTTGAGGTTGCAGGTGTCCGATATATCACAAGGCACAGAGGGAGATCGGAAGGGAAAGTGCCTGCGCTTCCCGGCATGAGGGTGCATACGGTGCGGGCTTGCGTTTCCAAATTCCTAACGACGTCGCTCCACATGACTCGAGTACACTACACATACAGCGATGTTACATGACAGCTTGAACTCACGAGCTATACAGAATGCCGATATCAAACTATAGCTTTTTTGTGGAATATCTTGTAATATCCGTCAGCATGTTGCCTACTGCTGCAGAATCAGCAGTAGATGTTGTGCAGCTGGTGGTTTTCCTCAGGAGACGACGTGCGTGGTTTGATTTTCGATTGCCTGCGAGAGTTCCAACAGCAACTGATGGAGTGCGGTGCCATGCACGACTCGTGCGGTCCTTGTAGTTGTCAGTAACCTTTTTCAGATGTGTGCTCCGGCATCAGCACTTCCCAGGCACCGTAGACACACATGCGCCTTTTGGATACATGCGCAAGAGCCACAGCATGCGATCACGCATGAAGCTGTATAGAGAGCTCGCGCATCTCAGCGCACGTGATCCGATCAGGTTGTCCCTGCGGATGGCAGGGACGCTTGATTCCGGTTCGTCAAAACACATGCAGCACCGACGGAACAAAACCACGTGCTGCCGAACCTGACCTACGACATGCGACGACATGCGATGATGAACGTTGTTAGGCCTTTTCTTGGCCACTATCCTGCATTCGTTTCTGCTGTCCTGCAGCCTGCAAAGCTCGAAACCTCTTGTCCCCTCCACTGCAGCCTCATCTAGCATGACCAAGGCCGAGCAGAAGAAAGCCGTGCAGTTCACTCGCATGTGCAAGTTCTGGCGGGCGAACGAATGCAAGATGGGCACAGACTGCATGTTTGCCCATGATACTGCCGAGTTGCGGCCGAGCCCAAAGCCATGCTTCCAGTTCTCCAAGACCGGCTCCTGCGTGCGCGGGCAGGCATGCAGATTCGTTCACCTGGCGGATGGCAAGGGTGGCAAGAAGAGCGGCGGCAAATCCAGCGGCTTGCGCGTAAGCGTGCAGCAGGCGGTCGCCAGGCAACATCCGCTTGCGGGCGCCAGCGGGTGGCCGATGGCATCTGCACCTCATGCGCCAGCTGGCGTGAGCACCTCGATGCCGGAACTCGACCATAGGCTGCCCCCCCAGCCAAGCGTTGTCCCGAGCCCCTGCTTCCGCCTGCCACCCGGACTAGACGACGCGGGCTTGATGGGTGTTGGGGGAAATGGTGCGTGCCCCACCGTGAAGTTGATGGACGGAGGGTCCCGCAGCTCCAGTTTCAGCGATGCCCCGCTGGGATTGGAGCATCTACTGTCAATCCCCAAGGCAGACCCTGACAATTTGGCCACGCACAGCTGGACGTCGACCATGTGCCTGAGCTCTACACCATCGAGCTTCAGTGAGTCGGACGGTCCTGAAGGTACATCTTTTTGGCTGTGAATTCCCATGTGGCACATTGATAGTTTACTCGCCGATCTCTGTTGTGCCACGCCCATGTACCTAGCTTAAATGCAAGTCGCCATCCAAGGCAACTTGGGTCGCAATTCGTCGGATTTCTTTCGCACAGTGTATGCCAGAGTCAGTCCGCTGACGATGGGTTTCTCGTCGCTGTCGAAGAGGATATCCGGCTTTCCACAGCCCTTGCCCCCGAAATCTCCCAGCCACCCCTGCCTGCAGCTAGCAAATCTCAAATTTGGGTTGTTTAGTAATGAGATCTTGTGGCAGTATTTGGAAGGGTTCGCCCCCTGTTGATGCAGCGTGCTCGATTTGCTTTGAGTGGCTTTGGCTTGGCTTCGTTGTAGCACAGGCTTTATAGGGTTTAAGTTATTGTTTTCGTTTTCTTCAAGGTCTGGGTTTCTTGGTGTGTGCCGAAGCCCAACAACATCAGCTCTAAGGCCCTGGAAGTGAGTAACAGTCGCGTGAAGTGTATTTCGATTCAACTCACTGTACCTGTCAATCCTGGGAGCCGACGAAAGAGCCATCATTGCCAGTCCAAAATCACAGGCACAAATGGAGATCGGAAGGGAAAGTGCCTGCGCTGCCCGACATGAGGGTGCACACGGTGCGGGCTTGCATTTCCAAATTCCTAACGACGTCGCTCCACATGACTCGAGTACACTACACATACAGCGATGTTACATGACAGCTTGAACTCACGAGCTATACAGAATGCCGATATCAAACTATAGCTTTTCTGTGGAATATCTTGTAATATCCGTGAGCATGTTGCCTACTGCTGCAGAATCAGCAGTAGATGTTGTGCAGCTGATGGCTTCGCCATAAAGACGACGTAAGTGGTTCGATTTTCGGTTGCTTGCGAGAGTTCCAACGGCAACTGATGGAGTGCGGTGCCATGCACGACTCGTGCGGTCCTTGTAGTTGTCAGTACCTTTTTCAGATGTGTGCTCCGGCATCAGCACTTCCCAGGCACCGCAGACACACATGCGCCTTTTTTTGAAGCATGCGCAAGAGCCACAGCATGCGATCACGCATCAAGCTGTATATAGAGCTCGCGCATCTCAGCGCAAGTGATCCGATCAGGTTGTCCCTGCGGATGGCAGGGACGCTTGATTCCGGTTTGTCAAAACACATGCAGCACCGACGGAACCAAACCACGTGCTGCCGAACCTGACCTATGATGAACGTTGTTAGGCTTTTTCTTGGCCACTATCCTGTATGCGTTTCTGCTGTCCTGCAGCCTGCAAAGCTCGAAACCTCTCGTCCCCTCCACTGCAGCCTCATCTAGCATGACCAAGGCCGAGCAGAAGAAAGCCGTGCAGTTCACCCGCATGTGCAAGTTCTGGCGGACGAACGAGTGCAAGATGGGGACGGACTGCACGTTTGCCCACGACACTGCCGAGCTGCGGCCGAGCCCAAAGCCATGCTTCGAGTTCTCCAAGACTGGCTCCTGCGTGCGCGGGCAGGCATGCAGATTCGTTCACCTGGCGGATGGCAATGGTGGCAAGAAGAGCGGCGGCAATTCCAGCGGCTTGCGCGTGAGCGTGCAGCAGGTTGGCGCCAGGCAACATCCGCTTGCGGGCGCCAGCGCGTGGCCGATGGCATTTGCACCTTATGCGCCAGGTGGCGTGAGCACTCAGATGCCGGAACTCGACCACATGCTGCCCCCGCTCCAGCCAAGCGTTGTCCCGAGCCCCTGCTTCCGCCCGCCACCCGGACTAGAAGACGCGGGCTTGATGGGTGTTGGGGGAAATGGTGCGTGCTCCACCGTGAAGTTGATGGACGGAGGGTCGCGCCGCTCCAGTTTCAGCGATGCCCCGCTGGGTTTGGAGCATCTATTGTCAATCCCCAAGGCAGACCCTGACGATTTGGCCACGCACAGCTGGACGTCGACCATGTGCCTGAGCTCTACACCATCGAGCTTCAGTGAGTCGGACGGTCCTGAAGGTACATCTTTTTGGCTGTGAATTCCCATGTGGCACATTGATAGTTTACTCGCCGATCTCTGTTGTGCCACGTCCATGTACCTAGCTTATAGTATCCGGCTTTCCGCAGCCCTTGCCCCCGAAATGCTCCCAGCCACCCCTGCCTGCAGCTAGCAAACCACAACTGAGGGTTGTTTAGTAATGAGATCTTCTGGCAGTATTTGCAAGGACGAGAATCACCACAGGGCGTGTCCGCCCCCTCTTGATGCAGCGTGCTCGGCTTCGTTGCACAGGCTTTTTGGGGTTTAAGTTATTGTTCTCGTTTTCTTCAAGGTCTGGGTTTCTTGGTGTGTGCCGAAGCCCAACAACACTAGCTCTAAGGCCCTGTTCGAAGTGAGTAATTGTTCGAGTGATGTGTATTTCGATTCAACTCACTGTACCTGTCAATCCTGGGAGCGGACGAAAGAGCCATCATTGCCTTTGTAGAACGCTAAGTGGTATCGGAAGTTCTTCCGTTGAGGTTGCAGGTGTCCGATATATCACAAGGCACAGAGGGAGATCGGAAGGGAAAGTGCCTGCGCTTCCCGGCATGAGGGTGCATACGGTGCGGGCTTGCGTTTCCAAATTCCTAACGACGTCGCTCCACATGACTCGAGTACACTACACATACAGCGATGTTACATGACAGCTTGAACTCACGAGCTATACAGAATGCCGATATCAAACTATAGCTTTTTTGTGGAATATCTTGTAATATCCGTCAGCATGTTGCCTACTGCTGCAGAATCAGCAGTAGATGTTGTGCAGCTGGTGGTTTTCCTCAGGAGACGACGTACGTGGTTTGATTTTCGATTGCCTGCGAGAGTTCCAACAGCAACTGATGGAGTGCGGTGCCACGCACGACTCGTGCGGTCCTTGTAGTTGTCAGTAACCTTTTTCAGATGTGTGCTCCGGCATCAGCACTTCCCAGGCACCGTAGACACACATGCGCCTTTTTGAAACATGCGCAAGAGCCACGGCATGCGATCACGCATGAAGCTGTACAGAGAGCTCGCTCATCTCAGCGCAAGTGATCCGATCAGGTTGTCCCTGCGGATGGCAGGGACGCTTGTTTCCGGATTGTCAACACATGCAGCACCGACGGAACAAAACCATATGCTGCCGAACCTGACCTACTACATGCGACGACATGCGATGATGAACGTTGTTATTTTTCTTGGCCACTATCCTGTATGCGTTTCTGCTGTCCTGCAGTCTGCAAAGCTCGAAACCTCTTGTCCCCTCCACTGCAGCCTCATCTAGCATGACCAAGGCCGAGCAGAAGAAAGCTGTGCAGTTCACTCGCATGTGCAAGTTCTGGCGGACGAACGAATGCAAGATGGGGACGGACTGCACGTTTGCCCATGACACTGCCGAGTTGCGGCCGAGCCCAAAGCCATGCTTCGAGTTCTCCAAGACCGGCTCCTGCGTGCGCGGGCAGGCATGCAGATTCGTTCACCTGGCGGATAGCAATCGTGGCAAGAAGAGCGGCGGCAAATCCAGCGGCTTGCGCGTGAGCGTGCAGCAGGCGGGCGCCAGGCAACATCCGCTTGCGGGCGCCAGCGGGTGGCCGGTGGCATGTGCACCTTATACTCCAGCTGGCGTGAGCACCCCGATGCCGGAACTCGACCATATGCTGCCCCCCCAGCCAAGCGTTGTCCCGAGCCCCTGCTTCCGCCTGCCACCCGGACTAGACGACGCAGGCTTGATGGGTGTTGGGGGAAATGGTGCGTGCTCCACCGTGAAGTTGATGTCGGACGGAGTGTCGCGCAGCTCCAGTTTCAGCGATGCCCCACTGGGTTTGGAGCATCTACTGTCAATCCCCAAGGCAGACCCTGACGATTTGGCCACGCACAGCTGGACGTCGACCATGTGCCTGAGCTCTACACCATCGAGCTTCAGTGAGTCGGACGGTCCTGAAGGGACATCTTTTTGGTTGTGAATTCCCATGCGGCACATTGATAGCTTACTCGTCGATCTCTGTTGTGCCACGTCCATGTACCTAGCTTCTAGATTCCGGCTTTCCGCAGCCCTTGCCCCCGAAATGCTCCCAGCCACCCCTGCCTGCAGCTGGCAAACCCCAATTGAGGGTTGTTTAGTAATGAGATCTTCTGGCAGTATCTGCAAGGACGAGAATCACCGCAGGGCGTGTCCGCCCCCTGTTGATGCAGCGTGCTCGATTTGCTTTGAAGGGCGTTGGCTTTGTCTTCGTTGTTGCACAGGCTTTTTGGGGTTTAAGTTATTGTTTTCGTTTTGTTCAAGGTTTGGGTTTCTTGGTGTGTGCCGAAGCCCAACAACATCAGCTCTAAGCCCCTGTTCGAAGTGAGTAACAGTCGCGTGAAGTGTATTTCGATTCAACTCACTGTACCTGTCAATCCTGGGAGCCGACAAAAGAGCCATCAATTGCCAGTCCAAAATCACAAGGCACAAAGGGAGATCGGAAGGGAAAGTGCCTGCGCTGCCCGACATGAGGGTGCACACAGTGTGGGCTTGCATTTCCAAATTCCTAACGACGTCGCTCCACATGACTCGAGTACACTGCACATACAGCCATGTTACATGACAGCTTGAACTCACGAGCTATACAGAATGCCGATATCAAACTATAGCTTTTTTTGTGGAATATCTTGTAATATCCGTCAGCATGTTGCCTACTGCTGCAGAATCAGCAGTAGATGTTGTGCAGCTGATGGTTTCGCCATAAAGACGACGTAAGTGGTTCGATTTTCGGTTGCTTGCGAGAGTTCCAACGGCAACTGATGGAGTGCGGTGCCATGCACGACTCGTGCGGTCCTTGTAGTTGTCAGTACCTTTTTCAGATGTGTGCTCCGGCATCAGCACTTGCCAGGCACCATAGACACACATGCGCCTTTTTTTGAAGCATGCGCAAGAGCCACAGCATGCGATCACGCATCAAGCTGTATATAGAGCTCGCGCATCTCAGCGCAAGTGATCCGATCAGGTTGTCCCTGAGGATGACAGGGACGCTTGATTCCGGTTTGTCAAAACATATGCAGCACCGACGGAACAAAACCACGTGTTGCCGAACCTGACCTACGACATGCGACGACATGCGATGATGAACGTTGTTAGGCCTTTTCTTGGCCACTATCCTGCATTCGTTTCTGCTGTCCTGCAGCCTGCAAAGCTCGAAACCTCTTGTCCCCTCCACTGCAGCCTCATCTAGCATGACCAAGGCCGAGCAGAAGAAAGCCGTGCAGTTCACCCGCATGTGCAAGTTCTGGCGGACGAACGAGTGCAAGATGGGGACGGACTGCACGTTTGCCCATGACACTGCCGAGTTGCGGCCGAGCCCAAAGCCATGCTTCGAGTTCTCCAAGACCGGCTCCTGTGCGCGCGGGCAGGCATGCAGATTCGTTCACCTGGCGGACGGCAATGGTGGCAAGAAGAGCGGCGGCAAATCCAGCGGCTTGCGCGTGAGCGTGCAGCAGGTTGGCGCCAGGCAACATCCGCTTGCGGGCGCCAGCGCGTGGCCGATGGCATCTGCACCTTACACGCCAGCTTGCGTGAGCACCCCGATGCCGGAACTCGACCACACGCTGCTCCCGCTCCAGCCAAGCGTTGTCCCGAGCCCGTGCTTCCGCCCGCCACCCGGACTACACGACGCGGGCTTGATGGGCATTGGGGGAAATGGTGCGTGCTCCACCGTGAAGTTGATGGACGGAGGGTCGCGCCGCTCCAGTTTCAGCGATGCCCCGCTGGGATTGGAGCATCTATTGTCAATCCCCAAGGCAGACCCTGACGATTTGGCCACGCACAGCTGGACGTCGACCATGTGTCTGAGCTCTACACCATCGAGCTTCAGTGAGTCGGACGGTCCTGAAGGGACATCTTTTTGGCTGTGAATTCCCACGTGGCACATTAATAGTGTACTCGCCGATCTCTGTCATCTCTGTTGTGCCACGTCGATGTATCTAGCTTATAGTATCCGTCTTTCTGCAGCCGTTGTCCCCGAAATGCTCCCAGCCACCCCTGCCTGTAGCTAGCAAACCACAACTGAGGGTTGTTTAGTCATGAGATCTTCTCGCAGTATTTGCAAGGATGAGCATCACCACAGGGCGTGTCCCCCCCTGTTTGACAGTGTTAAGGCTCTGAATGTTTATGCAGCGTGCTCGATTTGCTTTGGAATGGCTTTGGCTTTGGCTTCGTTGTTGCACAGGCTTTATAGGGTTTCGTTTTGTTCAAGGTCTGGGTTTCTTGGTGTGTGCCGAAGCCCAACAACATTAGCTCTAAGGCCCTGCTAGAAGTGAGTAATGCTTCGGGTGATGTATATTTCAACTCACTGTACATCTCAATCCTGGGAGACGACGAAAGAGCCATCATTGCCATTGCCTTTCTAGAACGCAAGTGGTATCGGAACAAGTGTTCCGCTTTTTGCCTTGGTGGTCACGTTGAGGTTGCAGGTGTCCGATATATCACAAGGCACAGAGGGAGATCGGAAGGGAAAGTGCCTGCGCTTCCCGGCATGAGGGTGCACGCGGTGCGGGCTTGCATTTCCAAATTCCTAACGACGTCGCTCCACATGACTCGGGCACACTACATACAGCGATGTTACATGACAGCTTGAACTCACGAGCTATACAGAATGCCGATATCAAACTATAGCTTTTTTGTGGAATATCTTGTAATATCCGTCAGCATGTTGTGCACTGCTGCAGAATCAGCAGTAGATGTTGTGCAGCTGGTGGTTTCCTCAGGAGACGACGTGCGTGGTTTGATTTTCGATTGCCTGCGAGAGTTCCAACAGCAACTGATGGAGTGCGGTGCCATGCACGACTCGTGCGGTCCTTGTAGTTGTCAGTACCTTTTTCAGATGTGTGCTCCGGCATCAGCACTTCCCAGGCACCGTAGACACACATGCGCCTTTTTTTGAAACATGCGCAAGAGCCACGGCATGCGATGATGCATGAAGCTGTATAGAGAGCTCGCGCATCTCAGCGCAAGTGATCCGATCAGGTTGTCCCCCTGCAGATGGCAGGGACGCTTGATTCCGGTTTGTCAACGCATGCAGCACCGAGGGAACAAAACCATATGCTGCCGACATGCGACGACATGCGATCATGAACGTTGTTAGGCCTTTTCTTGGCCACTCTCCTGTAGGCGTTTCTGCTGTCCTGCAGCCTGCAAAGCTCGAAACCTCTTCCCCTCCACTGCAGCCTCATCTAGCATGACCAAGGCCGAGCAGAAGAAAGCCGTGCAGTTCACCCGCATGTGCAAGTTCTGGCGGACGAACGAGTGCAAGATGGGGACGGACTGCAAGTTTGCCCATGACACTGCCGAGTTGCGGCCGAGCCCAAAGCCATGCTTCGAGTTCTCCAAGACCGGCTCCTGCGTGCGCGGGCAGGCATGCAGATTCGTTCACCTGGCGGACGGCAATGGTGGCAAGAAGAGCGGCGGCAAATCCAGCGGCTTGCGCGTGAGCGTGCAGCAGGCGGGCGCCAGGCAACATCCGCTTGCGGGCGCCAGCCTGTGGCCGATGGCATTTGCACCTTATGCACCAGCTGGCGTGAGCACCCCGATGCCGGAACTCGACCACATACTGCTCCCGCTCCAGCCAAGCGTTGTCCCGAGCCCGTGCTTCCACCCGCCACCGGGACTACACGACGCGGGCTTGATGGATGTTTGGGAAAATGGTGCGTGCTCCACCCTGAAGTTGATGGACGGAGGGTCGCGCCGCTCCAGTTTCAGCGATGACCCGCTGGGTTTGGAACATCTACTGTCAATCCCCAAGGCAGACCCTGACGATTTGGCCACGCACAGCTGGACGACCACCATGTGCTTGAGCTCTACACCAGCGAGCTTCAGTGAGTCGGACGGTCCTGAACGGACATCTTTTTGGCTGTGAATTCCCGCGCGGGGCGTCGATGTTCCTTGTACTGTAAGCTGTTCAAGAGTCTTTGCCGGTCGATTTTATGCGCACTCGATATTTCCATGGGCCATGTAGCTTAGCCCTGTCCGCGAAATGTCTTCAGCGACGCTCCAGGCGACTCGTCTGCGGCAAAGCTCGGACGCCAACGCTCTCATAATGCGAGCTTGGTGCGAGGTCGACCAAGAACTACCAGCATAAGACTACAGCACCCATGTTGCTTTTACATGTGCATACAGGTTCCTGACTGCTTGTGCTGTTAGAGTGTTCATCCTGTATGCTAAAGGTCGTCCCGCAAAGCTTGGTTTGTCAATGCCGCTATACTATGCAGAGTCTATACAATGCAGAGACCAATAGAGAAAGTGCCCGAGCTACCTGACAAAACCTGGGCTGGAATGTTAGCCTGTCAACACCATGACAAACTGGATTGGCAATTTGTCGATAGTCTTTTCCGATGTCATGGGGTGCCCGTGAGTGTGTCGTATAGTGCTGTAGCAATCGCCAGTACATGCTGTAGATATATTGGGCGGCTGATGACTGCCTGACGTAAACGTACGTACTGTACTGTAATAAATAGTTTTGGTTCCCGCTGCCTGCGACTGTCTGGATCGCACCAAAAAGCGTGATCCTATAGTCCTTGAAGCCGTCATCTTCGCGTCTTCACTTGTATGTCCTGGCATCAGTGCTTTCCAGGCATTGCGGGTTGCGGAAAGACATGCGCCTTTTCGAAGCATGCGATAATCGCATGCACACGCGCATGAACCCCTGGTTCTTAGCAGGGAATGAGGGAATTAGGGCTTTAAGGGATCTACTAAGAACCAGCCAGATGAACCTGTATAGGGTGCTCGCACATCTCAGCGCCGGTGAGGGGCATCCATGCAGATGGCAGGTCAAGGATGCTTTGCGTCTCGTCTTGCATGTGATCGTGCAGAGACGACCAAAAAGCAGGGTGCTTTTGTCTGCCGAGCTGGCATATGGGTTGGGGTTTTGAGAGAGGCAAGCAGAATAGCTACCACTATAACATGGTTTTGCAGGCCACCATCTTGAGGTCGCCCCTCATGTTCTCCTCATAAGCGTGATGGTGGCTGAACTGCGCCTGCCTTTCATGTGCTGGTGCCAAGGCAGGCAGACATCGCGCTCTGGTAGTGTGCGACGTCTTGTGCAACTGATGATGGCTATGAAGGAGCTGGCATATTCGCAAGTATACTGTTACAAGGACATTGCGTTGCTGGGCGGCTTTCCAACCCAATTACCATCCTTGCTGTGCAGACATGCAGACAAAGAGAGCAGTTTGTTTCTCTGCCCCGTCTGCGTCACCCTTTCAGTGCTGCATGCGTTTCCTTGTGCAAGTCTTGTGTGCCGGGATGTGCATCCCCTTGCCTGGACTTCTTACATCATCACTCCCCCCAGGCTGCTTTGTATTCAAGATCAGTCGAGCTGCGGCTCCCGCGTCTCAGCCTCTGCACCCATCCGGTCGATGTCACGTCAAGGATGGTAGAATCCACATGCAGTCATTAACATATATGTTCGCATTGGCGCCTCCTGGAGCTTTGAAGCAGTTGAGCTTAGTAGAGGCGAGGAAATAAGAACCATTGCCTTTAAAGCTCAGTGGTCGTCTGCAATTTAATTACATTCCATTATCCGAGAGCTGCGCTCCGCTTTTCGAATGTTGCATTTCTGATCATTCGTGCCTGGCCACTTCCAGTCCACAAGGCAACGCCCGGATGTCGCCGCTCGCCGATGTGCTCAGTGCTGTTCTGTAGCCTGTAGCTGTAGACGTCGTAGAGCTCCCAGCATGACGAAGTCGGAGCAGAAGAAGGCCGTGCAGTTCACTCGCATGTGCAAGTTCTGGCGGACGAACGAGTGCAAGATGGGGGCAGACTGCACTTTTGCCCACGCTTCTTCGGAGTTGCGGCCGAGCCCGAAGCCTTGCTTCGAGTTCTCAAAGATCGGCTCCTGCGTGCGTGGGCAGGCATGCAGATTCGTTCATTCAGGGGATGGCATGAAAATCAGCGAGAAACCACATGGCTATGTGTTTGCAGGCGCTGGAGCCAAGCCACGCACGCCAATTGCCCCAATGCGCATGAGGGTGCTGATCCCACCGGACTCACTTCCGTTCCGCCCACCACCCGGCCTTGAGGACATTGGCATCATGTTCGGCCTTGAGGGAGAGGGCCCTTGCTGGAGCTCAGAAATCCACATGGATGGAGACAGTGGAAGTTCCCGTCGTTCCAGCCTGAGCGACATGTCGCTGTCGATGGACTTGATGGCTGCATCATGGAAGTCAGATGGCGCCACTGCGGCTACACAGAGCGGGACTTCCAGCATGTGTCTGAGCACCACGCCCTCGAGCTTCAGCAAATCTGACAGCCCTGAAGGGACAGCCTTTTGGATTTGAAGCATCGCTGGGTCTCACGTGTTGACATTGTAGTGTACCATGTACTCTATGGCGGCAGTCGTCATCTAGACGTGTCATGCACGCAGGTATGGCCATCAAACAGAACACCTTTTTGGAGGTGATGTAATGTGCTGTGGACATGTAGTGAGACGCAGATGCAATCTCTCAATCGGTGAGGAAGGCCTTGTCGGATGTGGCTGGTTGCTTAGAATAGCCATGTCCGACAAGCACGGGCAGCCCATGCAGCCGGTAATGCAAAGGGGATGAATCTCTCTCCAAATGGCACCGTACGTAAATTAATATTGTGCCAGGATGTGGGCCCTTGGAGTCCGCAACCATGAGAGTCGTGGGAGACCCGTGCAGCGTGGAAATCTCTGGCCCACTGAAGCAAATGCTGTATAGGGCTACAGGGAGCTCAATCGCGGGACAACCAGAGCCATCTTCAGTCTGCCAGCACGATTAGTTGCAGTGGAAACAGGCATATAGCAGACAGTAATTCGTCATCGTGCTTGCAGTTGTTGCGGTGACAGTATGCCGCACACTGCATGGCGTGCATGGCGTGCTCATGGGCCTAAGTGGCGGGACAGCAGTGTGAAGCACGGAGCGCACAAGTTGCGCGCTGCCACGAGTCCTTCGTAAGTTATTTCTTTGTTACAGTTTGGCGGAGTGCATCCTTCTCTGGTTGGGCTAAGGTTCCTTGATTGTCCCAGCTGCTTACATATAAGTCACAGACAGGAGTTTAGCGTGGACAAGTTTGGTGTTTCAGATTTGTTGAACTCGACTAGCGCAGGGGAGGTATGTCTCCGCACATGTCGTAACCATGTGTAAGCTTGTCCCATCTGCTTGGGGCACAATGCTCGTCGGTTTCAAAATCCGGCGGCTGTCAGCCTATTTGCTGTCCGACGACTAGCGAGAGAAAGACTTCAAGAAAACATGCACAATGCAATCGACCTTTCCTGAAGATGTGAGAAGCGTCCACAGCTGTGTGCGCGTTGATGCGTAGCATACAACCCCGCTCCGTATCAAGGGTAGAACGTTTTAGAAACGGGCGCTGTTCCGCAGCCGTCGTGCTGCCTTGCCGCCCTTACCACAGCATGACGAAGTCAGAGCAGAAGAAGGCCGTGCAGTTCACTCGCATGTGCAAGTTCTGGCGGACGAACGAGTGCAAGATGGGGGCAGACTGCACTTTCGCCCACGCTTCGTCGGAGTTGCGGCCGAGCCCAAAGCCATGCTTCGAGTTCTCCAAGACCGGCTCTTGCAAACGTGGACGGGCATGCAGATTCGTTCATTCCGCGGATGGAGTGAAGAGCAGGAACGCCAAGGATCCTCCAGCTCAGGCAAGCAGCGAAGCTTGTTCTACTGAGCCGCTCATTCGGCCAGTGGGCCCGTCGGAAGTCATACAGTGCACCAGTGCAAGTGTGACAGGTGGAGAACTTTTCGACATGCCACGACTCGGCCAGCTTTTTCCGCCAAGGGAATCCGATTTTATGTCGGGGCCGAGTCCGCAGGGGCTGCTGCAGAACCTCAACAGCCTCGGCATGCGAGACATTGAAGCATTTGCACGTGAGGCCCGTATTGCCCGGAGATCCCAGAATCCGACATTTTCTGATCTTCGCCAGACGGCTGCAGAGATGAGATCCAGCCTGAGCGAAAGTCCTGAAGTTTTGGCTGTGGAGCCTCGGTTCCCACTGCCTTCGCCATCCCTGGGGAGCTCGCAGCCTTCACACCTTCGGCATCTTCCAACCGATGCTTCGCGGCCCTCCAACCGAAAGTCGTTCTGGCTTTGAGAAGGCCTTGCAGTCCGGTTGCACGAATGGCAGATAAGCACAGTGCGCTCAATATCTTCAAAGTGATGTGTTGAAGCAGAGTAGTACAGTTTCACATTCTATCAACGCGCAATGCCGATGCAAAGCCACGCACATCCAAGCATTCTCATGAGCAGACATGACAACATGCCAAACCGGCACATTCATTCGGAAGTCGAATGTTAAAGCTGCTCGGTATGGCTCGGCAGACGGCTGACAGAGACAACTCCAAAACTATTTTGAAAGGAGTTGCTTGGACTCTTATCGTGAGCTTAGCTCGTCTTTCCATTTCCCCCGCGCAGTGCAGCGTTCGTTGCCAAGGGCTCGGAGGGTCGACATCTTTGTTTATCCTGTCTCCAGTACTTTGGCGTTAGAGCACGAAGACGATTTCCATACATCCACCTGGCAAGCGCATCACATGCGACCTGAAACATGCTTTTGACACAGGCCAGCGGTAATTATCTAAAGAGATCTATAGAGGGTACTGAGCATTCAAGCCACGGGGGATTTGAGCCTCCTCAATGATATTGACAGGTGGTGAAGTGCATTCCAGTTCCATGTCATCCGATCAGTCATGCTTCATCTGGCAGAACGAGCTGATTCCGGTCTCGCATGCACGGGAGTATTCGAGAATGCGGAGCCAAAAAAAGATGCCATGGCAATGCGTTGTTGCGATGCACTTTGCGATGGCAGCGCGCGTGCGCGAGTTAATATTGAGATGTCAGGTCGTGCTCTGGCTCAGCAGAAGCATTCCAGGACCTCAAGGCTCCATAGCATCCGACCACGCAAGAAGTCAGGAAGCCATGCCGAAAGCCGAGGCCAAGAACACCGTGAAGTTCACTCGAATGTGCAAGTTCTGGAAGACGAACGAATGCAAAATGGGAGCCGACTGTACATTCGCCCATTCAACCAAGGAGTTGCGCCCGAGCCCGAAGCCTTGCTTTGACTTTGTGAAGAACGGATTCTGTGCCCGTGGACAAACATGTCGTTTCGTGCACGAGGTGGTTGAGATGAAGACTACGGACAAGTTCGTGGAAGTGCAGCACTCGGCCATCAATCGGGATCGTGGTGCAGAGGCTTCAGTCCTTGGAAGCTACGGCCGACAGCCGACTGTCCATCCGCCTTTGCACATGGCCCCGCATGCCCCGCTGGCTGCCGCACAGCAGATGCCGCAGTTTAGCATCCCTCCCGCGCGCCAAATGAGCCAGCGGATTTGGGAACAGTTCATGGAGCCAGATCATGCAACACATTCGCCAAGCTGCATTCGTCCGCCGCCGGGTCTGTCAGTTTTCCCTCAGGGCCCGCCAGGACTGGCAGCAGGCCTAGGAGGCTTCGTGCCTGAAGAGCCCGAAGTAATGAAGACCGCATTGCACACTGATGGCGACTCTCGTCGATCCAGTCTGAGTGATTTGGGTTTGGAGTGCATCAAGCTGCCCATTTGCAAGTCAGACCGGCTGGAGCAAGGGGCCGACGAGGCGACGGTGGCTACCCAGAGTTTGACTTCCACCATGTGCCTGAGTACTACGCCTTCGAGCTTCAGTGAGGTTGAGAGCCCGACATCCTTCTGGTTGTAGAAATCTAGTTGTAAGATGTTGCAAGGCAGGCCTGCGACACCATGTGGTTTCAAGCCATCCGCATGCTCCCAGGCTCCCTGTGTTGTGTTTTCCCCAGTTTGACGCTGAGGCAGCCCAAGCCAATCCTATTTGTCCTTGCGAAAGTTGATTGAGCAGTCTCGGTCCACTTTGGGTCCTTCCTTGGTCGCTGTTTTCGGCTTCTTGCGCCTCAAGCAGTTCGCGTCAGCTTCCGTGCAGTGTTTATTCGTGCGCAAGTGGAGTTTGCCCTTGCGCACACCTGTGCAGCAGAGCAAGCTAGCAGGGCACAGCTGGGGTCCTTCCAGTCTTTCTCGTGACTGAAGAAATTGCGGTCCGGGTAGGCCTGGTTGTGGATATGTTGTACCGGAGGTACTTGCTCCAGCTGGCGCCCCTGGAACGCTTTCATTGAACCACAGCTTGATGTTGCCTTCTGGTTGCTTCCAGACTGCTGCGCAGGGATTTGATTTCTCGTTCCTATCGCAAGTATTGCACCCACGGCCGTGCCCGTGCTGCTGTCGAACACACGCCCAAAACCTTTCGGAAACGATCTTCTCAAGCCCATGCCGTGAAAGTCACACCCTGAGGCAGTTTGAGCTGAAGGGGAAGCAGCACGTCGTTTTTGCACAGCCGGGCCTAGGTTTGAGTGGAGCCTTGCTGCCTTGCCGCATGTGATGCTTAAACTATCATGAGGGTACTCGATGCACTTGGGTGTAGCTACGAGTTCTGCATGGTAGCGCCTCGTGTCCTGCTGGTTGCGCTGGACTTTCCCCCCCCCATGCACACTTGCGGCAAGATGCAGCTTCGAATCCTGTACCTTGTTTAAGAAGCGAGCCGTTAGCATTTCAAGAGATGAGTCGATGAAACGTGAGCCGCAGCGAATGCAAAATCAGCCAGGGGAAGGCGTGCCGCATTCTCTGAACTCTTAAGCACACATGACAGGACTGCGGAAAGTTGGCATTCCGTGGGCAGAGACTTGCCTGTCAGGGGGCGCCGCTGAATGACGAGCCCAGGCCACCCTTGCGCAGCTGCCTCAGGACGCGAAAACACGTATTGCTGAGCCCTTGGCCTGGGCGAATCGGCGCCCAGCGAACGATTTCTGATCAGCATCAAGGCCGTCCATAAATTGGAAACCAAGCAATGGCCCAATCGTAATTGTCATCACCAATATTGCTTCTGCATCTCTCTGACTGTTCTTTCTGAGAGTCTTGTCAATTTTTGAAGTTGCCGTACACCACAGAAACGCGGCCATGTTAACAAATCTTGTGAGGGTAGGGATCGGGGGCAAGGGGCAAAGGACAAAAGCTTTCACTAGCGCCGACCCGTGGGGTCGGCGGCGACAGTGCTTAAGTGTCTCGAAATAGTTCGTGCTGTATGTAGTGGGGCATATGTGGTTTTATCACGTATCATGAATCTGAACCACTTGAACTGGAAGTGTTCGGAGTGGACTGACATGAGGTCAGTTTGCTGCATGAGTGGAGATGCATCCTCCATACCCTTGGTACAAGTAAACGCAGTCATTCCCTGCATGAGCCAAATACGTGTAGTCTTTCTTGTAGTCGCTCATGAAACTGCAGCGGGTGGGGGGGGAAGGGAAGCTCTGTAAATTGACGAGCCCGCCAAGGCCTGATGAAGTGGCAGGATGGGCGCGGCGCTAGTGAGGACCTGCGTTCGCAACTTGAAACACGCGCAACCATGTGAACGTATGAACGGGACCAGGCCAGGCTGCAATCCTGTTGGTAACTACTATGTTCTGCCGCTGTTGGGTCAAGACGCTCATGCAAGTCTCACTTTCTAAGCATCCAACGAATCCCTCGCTTTGAGCCCTGCAGAGCTACAGCTACAACGGTTTAGGGTTTAAGGTTTAGGGTTTAGGGTTTAGGGTGACATAATCTTCTCCACAATACCAAGTCCTTTGCCTTCCGCTCGCTTCCACCCCCGAAGCCCTCCCAAAGCATTGCCTTAGGAACGCCGGCCGCCACCTGGTCCCAGAACCCGCCGCGCAGAACCTAAGGCGCCTTTGTAAGACCAAACGAGCCCTACATCCATGTGGGTAGTTTCCTAAATTTGTGAGTGCCCAGTACAAGGTGGCCTTGAAAAAGGGATCCCAAAAAAAGGGGCCCTAGAGAACTACTCCTGTACTCGCTCATTCGGGCTGCAACCCAACTGGTACCTGTAAGCCGCGGGGAGTCGAGCCGTAAATGCACGACTGGCAAAGTCTGGGCCACTATGTAGATGCAGCCTCGATCCCCTATGGCACCTGATGATGGGGGCTACTTCTCTGAAGGTTCCCCCGAAAGGGTCACTCCTAAACCCTAAACCCTAAACCCTAAACCCTAAACCCTAAACCCTAAACCCTAAACCCTAAACCCTAAACCCTAAACCCTAAACCCTAAACACTCCTGCTGGGGATGTCATCCCATCCAAGCAGCAAGGCCTGGAACTCTGATGTGGACACGCCTCTGAGTGAGAAGCTTATGTTCCTGTTGAGCCACCCCCGTCGTTGCAAGTCATTGCGATAAGGAGAGGAGCTGTTTGACGCTGGAATCGGCCTTTTGTTCTCCTTAAGGTGATTGTGTTTGAAAGCCGGCCGATGCGCTTCTTGAAGTCAGAATGCACGACTAAAATCGGGGGCGGAGGGTGGACTTAGATGATGGTCACTTTTCAAGTACCCTGCAAGTACCCTAAGTTCGCAGGTAGCTTAAGCACATACAGTCTTCCGCGCCCGATGGCAACGGCGTGTGGGTAGATTATCAGACCCGTTTGCCTCGCCAAGGTCGGGAAATCCCGCATTCCGCAGAGGCAGGGACCCCACCGTAAATTGCCTCCGTCACTGCTGCATCAACGCTGGATGCTGTGCGACTTTTGTTTTTCATTGTGCTGGAGGAGCTGGATCGCACGGTTCCCTCGCGTCGCATAGCAGCACGTTTCGCACCTGGACAGTGCAGTATAGTTAGTCCTAGCTAGGTAAATGTGTACAAGCAGTCAGGAAGGAGGTTGCTGTGTGACTTGTCTTGGTTGATGGTCGCTCGGGTGCGTGCCGTGCTTTATGCACCACGCACGTGCAGGATTCATCTTTCTCTATCTCTTCTTCTCCCTCTCCTTGCCCCTCACTCACTACCACACTCACCTTGCCCTCACTCAGTCTCTCTCTCTCTCTCTCTCTGGCTCGCTTTCTGTCCGTCTTCTTGTCTCGCATGGCATATGACAAGTGCACGCCGTCAGCTGCAAATGTCACTGTGTGCGGGGGAGTTGAAAAGTCTTCATGTGCATGTTTGACGTCCTCAAACAGGGCTGCCGAGGCGCCGCTGCATGCTTTTGCCAATAGTTCATCTGGGTTCGGTGCGACATCGCAAATCAGACCAGGCAAAGTTTGAGCAACTAGTTGTGTCGCCGAATGCAATGGCGACCCCAGGAAACGCGCCTGCCAGGCGCGGAAAGGGAAAGGATTTGTAAAATGCAACGGGTCGCTACTCTCGTGGCTGCCATGATGGTTCCGGTAAGGCGGTGCATACTTTGTGTTGCTTACTTCTGGGTTGTTGGGTCTCTCGGTCTGCATGCAGTCGTGACCTTTGGAATTGGGGCTTCGCTTAGACTCAGATGTATGAGCTTCGGCCTCAACGAGATTGCGCTCCAACAGCACGGCTTTGACACCATTCTGGGAAATCGTTTTGGACTGAGGATGAATGGAAATCATGAACACATTGCGAGAAGTCTCTATGATTTGAGAAGACCTTACCGAGCCGTAATTAGCCTTTATAGAGTCCTGCAGGCGAGCACCCATTGAGCTGGAGGACATCGGTGTTCTCAGGAGCCTCGGGGTTTAGGAAGGCCGTCCTTCATCAGTGCGCGTGCAAGGGGTGTAGACAGCTGTACCCTATGCATGAGAACATTGTTTGAGTTGTGAAATTCACCATGCCAAGCAGATAAACAGCAAGTACTTAATATGTTGCATGTCGGGTGCTGGTGCGGAGTGTCTTTTGCTTGACAGGCGAGATCCGGTTTGACTCCTTTGTAGTAGCAGTGCGGGTGGCAAGCAAAAACTAGCGCTATGAAGAGAATAAGTGCCTGTGGCGGCATTTTGTATGCACCGAAAGTGGCCTGCCTGACCTCTTGGGTTCAGAAAGAGCCCCGCGAAAATCTGAGCCAACGCCAAACTCTGTCCGCTCAACTTTCTTTAGAGACCCGTTAGACGACTTGGGAGTCCACGAAATATGGAGCCCCCAGAATCGACCCCGAATAGTAGGTTGTAGGATTCCCTTATAGTAAGGACCCCAAAAAGGAACCCCTAATGTCGGAAACCCCCCCCCACCTTGACTAGGACCGAACTTCGCGGTCTTCGGGAGGAGTATGAGCTGCTCTCCAGGGAGCTAAGGACAGTCTTTGAGATCTCTGGGGGGTTCAGGTGTACTTGAAGTGGGTTACAAGTGCAGTTATAATTGGTTAATAAGAACCAGTACCATGAACCTCCGAGTATATTATGCCCCTTGTAGGGGCTTGGGGGGTTTGCGTCGCGAAGGCTTGGGGCCTTGGTTTGGGGATTCGTGGTTCGTAAAGCTTGGCATGGAGAGTGGCTTGCCGAAATTGCGGCACTTCGACCTGACATGGGCCTGCCGGAGGACGTCGCACAAGAACCTGGCCTCTGAGAAGCAAAGGCGAAAGAGCTTGAGGCAGGCCAATGTCAGGCTGTGCACACACTACACTTGTACTGCAGTCAAAATCTCATGCTTTCAGGCAAAAGGTGGCAGATCGTAACTTGGCTGCACGTACGCAAGTCCTCTTCAAAGAGCCGCGAGAAAAGCCATCAGCTTGTACACCCACCCCCAACCCCCGAAACTTCACTGCTAGATACTCAACTTTCCTGAGTCCTCGGATAAGGAATGGGGCCATCGTGTATAGGTACAACTCCGAATTCCAACGTAGTTGCAAACCCGATGCGAGAAGGGACGTACGGGAACGGTAGTACTGCTATGGGGCTTGGCAGG